TTTAACTATTTTTTAGTATAGTTGACAGTGTTACATTGTTACATTAGCTTCATGTGTACAACATAGTGATTCCACAAGTCAATAAATTATGCTGTGCTTACCACTAGTATAGCTACCATACAATGTTATTTTTTTTTTTTTTAAGATTTTATTTATTTATTTGACAGAGACAGAGACAGCGAGAGCAGGAACACAAGCAGGGGGAGTGGGAGAGGGAGAAGCAGGCCTCCCGCCGAGCAGGGAGCCCGATGTGGGACTCGATCCCAGGACCCTGGGATCATGACCTGAGCCGAAGGCAGTCGCTTAACCAACTGAGCCACCCAGGCACCCCCTACCATACAATGTTATTATAGTACTATTGACTATATTCCCTATACTGTCTGTAACTTTTATTCTCTTAACCTATTCATTCCATAACTGGAAGCCTGTATCTCCCATCCCCTTCACCCATTTTGACCATCCTCCAACCCCCTTCCCTCTCTGGAAGGCATCAGTTTGTTCTCTGTATTTATAAGTCAATTTCTGCTTTTTGTCTGTTTATTTGTTTTGTTTTTTAGATCCACATATAAGTGAAATCATGTGGTATTTGTCTTTCTTTGACTGAAATAAGTCTCTTAGCATAATACCCTATAGATCCCTCCATGTTGTCACAAATGGCAAGGCAAGATCTCATTCCTTTTTACGGCTGAATACCTGTGTGTGTGTGTGTGTGTGTGCGTGCGCGCGCACTTCACATCTTCTTTATCCACTCATCTATAGATATACACTTGGGTTACTTCCATATCTTAGCTATTGTAAATAATGCTGCAATAAACATAGGGTTGAATGTATCCTTTTGAATTAGTGTTTTCATTCTCTTTGGGTAAATACCCAGTAGTAGAATATTTGGATCATATGATATTTCTATTTTTAATTTGTTAAGGAACCCCCATAGTGTTTTTCACATTTACATTCCCACCAACAGTGCACAAGGGTTCCTTTTTCCTCCACATCCTCACCAACACTTGTTACTTTTTGTCTTTGTGAGTCTAGCCATTCTGACAGGTGTAAGGTAATATCTCGTGGTTTTGATTTGCTTTTCCCTGATGATTAATGATTTAACTATTTTCTTTATGAAGACAGTCTATTGAGAAAACTGGGCACAGTATTATAGTGCAGAGTATTTTACTAGTTTGTATTGGTCAGACCTGATTTTAAGTCCCAGTACAATCACTAGGTTTGGTTTTGTTTACATTGAACAATTTATTTGATTTTCCTAGTGTTTTCTCATCTGCAAAGTAGGAGTAATAATCCTAATTTGCTGAATTGATGTGAAGATGATTATGTATTAAAAGCATCAAATGTAGTACTAGCTACATGGTAGTCATTCAATGTAGGATCACTGTTTGTATAATTATTGTATGAGCCATTTAGCCGGAATTTAATAGTCGCAATTAGCCTGAGACATTTTTTACAGTAAGAGGTTGCAGTATTTAACAGAGTTTTGGTTTTTTTGAAAATTCTGCCAATATAAATTGTGTGCAAGCTTCATTACTGGGATGGGAAGAGGTAAAGATAAGCCAGTGCTGATATTAAAAAATGTGTCCCCTTGAGGAAGGGGCTTTTTTTATATAAAGATTTTATTTTATGTTATTTTATTTTATTTTATTTTATTTTATTTTAGTATTTCTTTGAGAGAAAGAGAGAGCATGAATGGGGTGAGGGGCAGAGGAAGAGGGAGAAGCAGACTCCTTGCTGAGCAGGGAGTCCGACATGGGGTTCAATCCTAGGATCATGACTTGAGTCCCCCAGGTACCCCAGGAAGGGACTGACTTTCGAAGTAGCCTGTAACAAGCTTTCTTTTCTTTCTCCTTATTTGAGTCAAGAACAGTCCTATGAGTGGGAAGATATAACTCTAGTTTACTGATAAAACTAGGTTCATAGAGGTTAAGTAATTTTGCTAAAGTCACATTATAAATGGTAGAGCTGAGATTTGAATAACTAAACTCTATGTTTGTTCATTTGGCAAGTGTAAATTCAGTAACTACTAGGTTCCAGGCACTCCTAAGCTTAGTACACTTCTCCTGTAGACCAGTTGGTGTTTGTTCATTAAATTTTTAACTCCAGTTTCCAAACATTTCATTGTTCATGAAACAGTAATATTATGGAATTAGTAGACTCCTAAAAAATTGTTTATCAAGTTCTATTTAAAAGGTATGATTAAAAGGAATTCTGTAGGGGCTCCTGGCTGGCTCACTCAGTACAGCATGCAACACTTGATCTCAGGGTCGTGAGTTCAAGCCCCCATTGGGCCTAGGGCTTACTTAAAGATTAAAAAAAAAAAAAGGGAATTCTGTAGTATTTTAAAATATAATGAATATTTATCTTAAAAAATAAGTTACTGGTTTAGTGAATGTTATTTCATGAATAATTTGTTTAAGAATGGAATACACATAATAGAAAACAACTAATGATCATATACACAAGGGGGGTAGAGGTTTCATTTTTGAAGAGATTAATCCAATTCCCATTTAAAAGTCTTTTTGTTCTGGGATGCCTGGCTGGCTCCGTCATTAGAGCATGCCACTCTTGATGTTGGGGTTGTGAGGGTCGTGGGTCATGAGTTCAAGTCCCATGTTGGGCATAGAGCTTACTGTAAGAAAAAAAAAAGTATTTTTCTTCTATTTAAGATTTACATATAATTCATGTAAATGACAGTAATGATTTCTTTGGGATGGTGTGAAATATCTTATCTCTTTATGGTAGATGTTTAAAAATTAAAGAAAAACTGTAAGCCATATAACTGTATTACTTAGAAGTTATTTTTTTGTTTTGTTATTTATTTCTGTCTCCATTAGTGTCCCTTCTTGGCTCCAGGCTCATATTAAAGAATATATAGAGGACTGATTGTATATTTGAGAATATAAGGTGATAAATAATAATCTTCAATGTTAAGATGAAACTGGGGTGAAAATGTAAACATAGCAAGCATTAGCACATTGTCACATTTCTAGACTTCAGAAATAAGGTAGTGATAATAACAGGGTTGGCCTAATTTCTCTGATCATAGTCTTGGCATACTACATCATATCAAGCTCTACCTCAGTTTCATTCTACAGTCTAGAGACAATTCTGTGAATTCTGAATTTAAATTAGGAGATGTGTTTCTGAGTGTGCCACAATTAATTCTGTGGTTTTACTGCTCTCCCGCCTAGAGCACCTCTGCTGATAATGGTCTTAACCCCAGTAGTAATATTTATTAAGGCCATTGCTTAGAGCTTTTGTAGACATTAGGTTTTTCCATTTTTAATTATTCTGTCTTCATTAGGTATTCTGTCTTCACTTATTTTCCCCTTAAGTTTTTCTTACCATGTATGTATTTTAGTTCAGGAAACTGTACCTGAAGAATTAAACATGTGATTAAAATTCTTTTTGTTAAACTTTAGAAAATAGTAACACCTGTTTGTATTGCTTTGAAAGGTAGGATTAAATCTTATGTTTGACAGTATAAACCAAGGGAAAATACTTGAGAAGAATAAAACTCTGTTGATAAGAAAATAATAAAAATTTTCTTTAAATATTGACGTAAGCTAAATTACAGAAAAAGTATAGATCCTTCTATAAGCCACAATCATATGTAAGTATCTTATAAAGAGACAGATTAGGTTTGGTTAAGACTGTAGAGTCAGAATTCCTGGGTTCTAATTTTGATTCAGCAATTTATCAGCAACATGACCTTGGAAAAATAATTTCTCTTTACCCGAATGTTTGAATAATAATAAAAGTCAATAATGGCACTTACTTCATAGGATTATTTTGAGGATTAAATGAGCTAATATATATATATAAAACAGAGCAGTTCCTGGCATATTGTAAGTATTGGTGTTAGATGATGATGGTGATGATGATCAGGCTCAACATTTTATGTTTTTATCTTTCATTTTTAATGTGTTTTTGGCTATTCTTAATAAGGTTTCTATTGTCTTTGAAAACCATGTGGACTGCAAGTTATCCAAAGTCAGTAAACTTTGTAATACATGTTTTCCACAAAGTTAATCATTTTAAAACAAAGTGTTTTCAAAAGTTTAATAAATCTGGCAAAACATGTTTGTGATGTTTAAGACTTACACAGTAATATTTAATTGAATTCATTCTTATTATGCTTAAATGGTGAATTCTGGGTATAGAATGTCAAGTAAGGCCAATATGATAACATTTATATGTATTATTGAGATGATAATCACAACAGGCTATAGAATGACCTAAATAGGATAACTCTTCTAGCCTTGAGATCGCCCAACAAAAGAGATCATTTTGAAATCTGTGACTCTAGTGACTAAGAAAACATTCAAGTACTAGAGTATATCTTGATTACTTGAAATTTGGTGATACAGTCACCTGTGTTGAGGAATGAAGAAAGAATGTATTACCTGTAGGCATATGGTCTTTTAATATTTTTTGGTAATTTATAATTGGAGAGTGGACATTAGGATAGTCACACTAAATGTTTTGTTCACGTACTTATCAAGTTACCTTTGATTTATGATTCACTTTTCCATAAAGACCATCTAATAGGAAAGAAGTTGTTCAGTCTTCTTGGCATTAATAAGTTCACACCTATTCTTTTGGGGAAGGAATTGCTCAAAATCATGTGTTACCCTTAAGCTCTTAGCTTAAGCCATTCTCTTTGAAAAATGGAGTAAAAACAAACACTATCTTTTTCTTTAGTCTACTGTTTCAAGTACATATGACAGCTCAGAAAAGAAATCAGAATTATTGAGATAAGATCATTAATCCTAACTAGAAATGTAATAGGAGATAAATTCACTCCTATTTTGTTGAAATAATTCCTTTTACATAGTGCCTGGTGCATTAATATTTCTTGATATTGAATACATGCTTAGTTATAGACAAGTTAATATACTAAAATTTGAATATTTCAAATTAGATTTGTTCTTATTTCCTTTGACTACAAAAGATTTACTTAAAACAGTTAAAAAATTGTTTTGGTCTCTTTTAAGGCCACAGAAAGTGAGGCTGGTGATATGGACCTGAGTGGGTTGCCAGAAACAGCAGTGGATTCTGAGGACGACGATGATGAAGAAGACATTGAGAGGGCATCAGATCCTCTGATGAGTAGGGACATTGTGAGAGACTGTTTAGAGAAGGATCCTATTGACAGGACGGATGATGACATTGGTAAGTTTGGATGGCAAAATGAACCGAAGAGCAATTTTAAAAATTTAGGGTAAAATGATCTGATAAAATAGAGCCCAAGAATAGTAAGCTTTAAAAGTTATTAATTTATAGATTTCCCTTGCATAAACAGTAAGTGACATTTGTTGAAAAAAGTTTGAAAATAAAATCAATTTTATTCAGTTATGTTCTGGAGTCTACAAATAATAAAACTTCCTAATACAACCCTTCCCCGTAGCCCTTTCTTAGTTTACTTTATGACAAAAAAAAATTAAAAGTAGTCTTCCAAATAGTGTTACTTCTATTATGTTTCTTGTGAGCACTATTCCTATTAAGCTCATGTTTTCTGTATGTAAATACTTGTCAATGACAATTGGTAAAATTGTGTTTGCTTCTGTGGTTCCATACGAAGATGGGATTGAGGGAAAGACGGCTACGAAATGTCAAGTTAGCAGCCTCTGAGCTGTGGGTTGTTGAGACTTTAAGTGCACCCTAAGGTTAGAAATCTAAGTGGTTTTGTATCTGTTTTCCCCATCCCTGCAGTTCCCTTTACCCACTCTCCTATTAGAGCAAGAGTGGACTGTGTAATAATGGTTTAGTGTTTGAGTATGCCTTCTGCATGCCGGCTTCTTCCTTAGAATACTAGGAGTCAGAGCAACTTCTGTTGAGCGTCTTCTCTCCACCACAGGCCTGCAATCTGTAACCATCTTTGGCTGAGCCCAGATTATCTGTCCTACCACTCTGCCGACTCTTTTTGGGCCAATATATATTTGAAGACAAATTCAAAGAACTGGATCTATTGGGGTTAGATATAGGATAGTATGGGCGTAGTTATGAGTGGCCAGTTGAATGTGTTTTGAGGGCAACAAACATTATGAAGAAAATCTTTTACCACTTACACTATATACATATGCTAGAAAATTAAGGATGAAAAACCAACAACTAGTATTAGACACTTAAAATATAATTTTAAAATTTATAGGAATTGCTAAGTATTTAAGGTGAATATCACGTGTTGGTAACCATTCATTCATTTGGCTAATGCGATTGAGTGCCTTTGATGTACTGAACATGTTTTTAGGTCCTGGCAACTCAGTGGGGGGCAAGGCAGGTAAGGTCCTTGCTCTTTTGCCTTCTGAAGAATAAAGTGGGGATTAGGGAGTGATGGAGGTTGGGGAATGAACTGAACAGGAACCTGTTTTAGGAAGGAGTGGCTGGTAATGCCCTTTTCCAGGGCTCAGACCTGAAGGAAGTGAAAAGAGGAAGCCACCTGTGTCTGTGGCCCCCAGTAAAGAATGTGTTCTGTGTTCATCCTTTCTGGATAATTTCTGCCAGAGGAGGGGACTTAACGGCTTCACAGATGTCCATCCCTGACTCCAGCCCATTTCATTCTCTACCACCTCTACTCCCATTCCAGAGGTGTTAGTAGTTCATAAGTCTTTGGAGGGTTCTGAGAGTGGTTCTGTTTTACCTGCTGAAAATACTGGGTTTCATGCTCTCGTGTCTGATACCACATACACATGCATCCTAAGTTGTACTTCACTGTCCTATTCTCTTTGTCCTTGCTGACTTCTTTTCAAAAATCTTTTTATTGTAGTTTTAAAGAGAAAGTGAAATTGGAAGTGTGTTCAGTTTGCCATCTTAATCCAAAATCCTTGTTCATAGGTTTTTTAAATTAGATTGAACATTGCTTATGAACAGATTGATGTGGAAATTATTCTTTTGTAAGTTAATGTATCATCTTTTTGAATATGTTCATTTTAGTACAGTTATGGAAGAAAATAATGATTATTAAAAATGTCATTCCTGGAAATTTAAAATTTTCACTTCATCTCTAAGAAGCTTTCTTTTCCACAATTTCTGGAAAGCAAAAGCTATGCTGATTCCTACAAAAGAATACAAAGCTATCTTTTTTTTTTTAATGGGCTTATTGATATAATCTCCAGTGAATAACATTTACTTGAATACCAATTCACTTATAAGCAGCGATGATTCTGATTCTTCTATCAAATATACTTTTGTTTAAAATAATAAACCATTATTATTAAAGATAAGGCCTAATGAGTGGTCTACAAGAGATCTTGTAAGATCTTATATTCTGACTCCTCAAAACAGAACCACATGTGAGAACTCTTTAGGTCTTTTGCTTTTACTCTTGTTAAATCTAACTGGTCCTCCAGTATTTAGTTACAATAGACACCTTTCATATAAACTACAAACTTCTACATAATTGATGCTTTCTCTGGATGCCTCTCTTCCTAACCACCTTCCTCTACCCCCACAAAAAAGGGAAGGAATGGTGTGTCTGGGTGGGAGGGGGATCTAAGTTGAATCAAATGAAATTGCTAATATTTGATCTTATTTTAAAAACTGCAAGAATTAAAAAAAATTTGCCTTTGGATTCCCATAGATTCTTGGGTGTGGTTCAATGCTTTGTTTGTTTCAGTGCTTTGAAGGAAGGGACTTTATTGATTTCTGCTCTCCAACTCATAACTTTGTAGGCCCTCAATTATTGAATGGTTGTGAATTTAATTTTTTGTTTTGATGCCTTGACACATTAAGGTAGAGACCTACTTCCAAGATCCCTTCCAAAGAATTCTTTTTTCTCCCCTTCAATATACCCCCAAAAAACCTCCACAGATTTAAAAAAAAAAATCTTAATAGTAATAATTTCTTATACAAAATTAAGCCAAAGCAAATAAGATAATTTCTATACTGACGTAGTTTGTGGTGTCTATAAGTTGGTTATCTGGCTTTTCTGTATGTCACACTGACTAGAAAAAAGTTTTAAAAAATGTCTTTTTTCATAAACAGAAATATTCCTTTCCTATAAAATAAAATAGTTTTAATTAATGTATTATTCTAATAGATTTTTCCAAGCAATATAGAAGAAAGTAGTCCTGCTTCTCCAGTCCATGGCTGCTTCTTTCCATGTCCTAGAAACTATCTTATTACTCATCCCAGGTTCTGAATTCCTTACCTCTGTGTGATTCCTGTGGCATTACCAGAGCTTATGTTGAGTCCTGACAGCCAAATGCTTCATTTTATATTTATTTATTTTTTGAAGGTTAGTGATAGAAATTTTTTATTTTTTAATTTATTTTTTATTTTTTTATTATTTTTTTTAAAAGATTTTATTTATTTATTTGACAGAGAGAGAGAGAGCACAAGTAGGCAGAGCAGCAGGCAGAGGGAGAGGGAGAAGCAGGTTCCCCGCCGAGCGGGGAGCCTGATGTGAGGCTCGATCCCAGGATCCTGGGATCATGACCTGAGCCGAAGGCAGACGCTTAACCGACTGAGCCACCCAGGCACCCCAAAATTTTTTATTTTTTTAATTGCTCTAATTCTCCAGTGTAATAAACAAGTTACTATAAAACCAGCAGTACCATTATTGAATCTTTGAGAGTCTCAACAACTCTTAGATGCCATCTGGTTAAGCATTTATTTATTTTTAGTTTTTCAACTGAGCCTGAAGAATCATGTACATTACTATAATTGCATCTTTTATATCTTTTTATTATTTATATTATATGTGATGCACAGGTATTTTCTATCCTGTCATATTTTTTTTTAATGTTAGTCATTACTCATATATCAACTTGATTTCATGACCCACTAATGGAGCAGGAATCTTCCAAAAAGCAAGAACAGTGTCTATGCAAAGCACTTCAAATCATTATAACAAGTATTAGTTGAATATATATTTTTAAAGATTTTATTTATTTATTTTGAGAGAGAGCAAGAGAGAGTATTGGGGGGGTGGCAATGGGAGAAGCAGTTTCCCCCGTTGAGCAGGGAGCCAGATGCAGGGCTTGATCCCAGGACCCCGGGATCATGACCTGAGGTGAAGATAGACACTTAACTGACTGAGCCACTCAGGAGCCCCTAGCTGAATATATTTTTATACTTCATATTCATATGCTTCATATTCTTTAATCATCCATGTAGTTGTAATTTGATTTATTGTTGCCTAAACATATTATGTTAAATTTAAAACATTTCTGACAACTTCTGGTCTCATATTTTCTTAAGACCATAAATCTTCATTTGTCCAAGGAAATTTAGTATCAGTAGGGAAGGGGGAAAAAAAGCAAAATATGTGTTCTATAGATAATATTCTAATACCTTATGGTGAGGGGTAAGGGACTGATAGCTTGAAGAAAACAGAGCTGATAACTGCAGAACATGACATGCAAGTCAGAGGACCAGGGCTTATACATTTGCCTTTATGTTTCAGATCAAAAGGTCAGGACATTTGTAAAGCAATGATTCTTACCTCCCATATATAATAGATATGGGTACCTCTTGAAGTGGTATTAAAAATTGCTTTATCGCTGTCCCCAGGAATAGATATGGCATGACACAAATGCACCTACTCATTCCAGAAATAAAAGTTTCACTAAACAGAACGTATTCTATAAGTGATATGCTTTGATTCTCTTTTTTTTTTTTTTAAATGCTGGTTGCAAAAAAAAAAAAAAGTGCTGGTTGCAGCAGTAAATTGATTTCCTGGCACGTCAGTCTGGGTCAGGTCTAAGAACACTGGGTACCACCTACCATTGTTATTCTGATTCCGAAGCCACCCTGTGTTATGAAAAGTTTTATACAGGAGGGATGATGTAGGGTCTAATCAGAAGAGACATTACCCAGCTGGGCCAGAGAAAAACACTCAGTCTGACCTTCTGGAAATGTAATGTTTTCACAGAATATATCTTTCTATTCTGTGTTGTTTTTGCAATTAACAAACTACTGTATACCCAATAACATAAAATATGTCACTAAATCCTAACAGATAGAGGGAATGTGCATGGGGATAGTTTAATTATGTGAGGACAAGAAAAATGTACCAGAATTTTTACTTAGCCAAAAGTTTGAATGATATAATAATGACAAGAATAGCAGTTCTTATTTATTGAGTATTCACTCTGTGCTAAGGACTTTATTATCTCTATTTAATTTTATTGTCACAACTGTATATTGTTCTTTCGCAAATGACGGAAACATGCTTAAGGAAATCAATCAACTTTCCCAAAGTAATATAATAAGTATTCAGATGTTGTCTGACATACACCTCATGCTCTTTGTCACTACCTATAATGTCCAGCAGAAGCTTTGGAGGCAGGCAGCCCTGAATCATATCACTGCCACTTCCGAATTATATGACTTGGAGCCTGTTCCCTCCCTGTGAAATGAGAAAGAAAACGAGCCTCGTAGGTCCATGGTGAGGAGTAAGGAAGGAACTTAGTAAGTAATTAGTAAAGCTACCTAATAGTAGAGAAAATTAAAAATAGAGACTACAGGACTAGAAAAGACTATGAAGTCATCTGTCTTGTCAACAGCTAGAAATGTATGAAAGTTTAAGCTGTTTGTCCACAACATTGCCAACAGGAAGAGTGATCATACTTTTCTTTTTTGGCCAATCTGTGGAATAAAAAATAATATATCAATTTGTATTTCTCACATAATGTAAATTTTTTTAGTTGATTTATTTTTATAGATTTGTTTTCATTCATAGAAAATATCCTTTGGTTTCTAAATCCTGGACTATCTTTAGATTGAAAGTGGTTATTTCTGCTGTTTTGGACATCTACTTGCCCAGAAGGCACTAAAATAGACCTATTGACTTTTTGGAGAATTCTCAGAGCTCTATTTCATTTCAGCTTATTTTATCCTTTAATTAGCCTTAATAAGATCACAGCTCATTTTCAGTAGAAATTTCCCATTTGAAGTTTGTTAATTTCTTCATTCCCATTAGAATTTGAATTACAGTGTATACTATTGTTCCTAAATCAATAGGTAAATGTCACCATTTCCACAGTGACAATTCTTTGTGTATCTGCAAGAAATCCAACTTTTATACTAACAATACTTGAAGTAATTATATTTTCCAGTGGGCAGGTTTGTAGGACATTTAAAAAAAACCCTAGAGGGGCGCCTGGGTGGCTCAGTCGGTTGGGCGTCTGGCTCGGGTCATGGTCTCGGGGTCCTGGGATCGAGTCCCGCATCGGGCTCTCTGCTTGGTGGGAGGTCTGCTTCTCCCTCTCTCTGCCCCTGCTTGTGTTCCCTCTCTCACTCTCTCAAAAAACAAACAACACCACCAAAACCCTAGAGCATTCTTTTTGAATGCTTGCTTTTTAAAGAAGTTGTAATGTTTACGATATCTTTTGCCTTGCAGAACAACTCTTAGAATTTATGCACCAGTTGCCTGCTTTTGCCAATATGACCATGTCGGTGAGACGAGAGCTCTGTGCCGTGATGGTGTTCGCAGTGGTGGAAAGAGCTGGGACCATAGTGTTAAATGATGGTGAAGAGGTCAGTGAACATTGCCACCACTGGAAAAGTTTCTGTTTGAGGGTCTCTCAGTAACAGCAAAAAAACAAAAAATCAAATTTCATGTTTTCCTCTTAAAAAATAAGCAACAATTAATTTGAATAATTCAAGAATTGTGATATACTTATTATGTCAAAGTATTCCAAATCCATTTTTTATTATAATATTTTATATGATACTGATAGAAATACTTTGTATTAACTTTTCAGATTTTTGTAACTTTAAATGTTCATAATATGCCTTTGGTCAGAACAAAATGGTCTTATTGAGGCAATAGTGATCATTTGATATTGCTTACATATATTTTGGGGAGCAGAAGAGCTCTTTTTCCTTGTGTCATTTTAGAGAGGAATATCCAAGGTCAAATTAAAAGAGCAGAATGATGGGTACTTTGCTAGGCATGTGGAAAACACAGATACATGGCTGTGCTTTGCTTTATTCCTTGTTCTTTGAGTTTAGTAAACAGTTCATTTTACTTGGATTATTCCATCTTTAAAGTGAAAGATCTGCTAAATCATTTGTGGGGACCATTCTTGCATTTACAGCTGCATGACCATGATTTTCTGCCTTGTCTTCATTTTTTTGAATTAGCTGGATTCCTGGTCAGTGATTTTGAATGGTTCTGTGGAAGTAACTTATCCAGATGGAAAAGCAGAAATATTATGTATGGGGAATAGTTTTGGTGTCTCTCCTACCATGGACAAAGAATACATGAAAGGAGTAATGAGAACAAAAGTGGATGACTGCCAGGTATAAAATATCATTAAAAATGTATATTTTATGCTTAACACATATATGCTGTTGGGGTAAGATTTTTCTGCCTGTATAAATAGGTCATTTTTTAGAGTTATAAATAATATTTTAAGTTAGAACTATTACTTTTAGTGTTATCATGCCCCAGGAAATTAAAAATAAATCTTCCTTAAAGTTGTTTGGACTCGGGGCACCTGGCTGGCTCAGTCTGTAGAGCATGTGACTCTTGATCTTGGGTCAAGAGTTCAAGCCCTACATTGGACATAGAGCTTACTAAAAAAAAAAAAAAAAAAAAAAGGTTGTTTGGACTCTGCATAACTAGGTGTTCTATAAGGTGTTCTATAAATATGTTCTATTAAAAGTGTTCTATAAATATGGTATTTTAAAATTTCCATTAATATTTTTATAATCTGTTCATCAAAAAATATAGAAGTAAAACATCCACTATGAAAAGAAATTATAAGTAGATTAATAAAGATGATATGATACAGTTATGCAGTGTTTTTATTTAAATACATACAAGATAAGGAATTGCTAGTAAAAAAGTAATTACTAATTAAAAGAAAATACTTGGTAGCAAAAGAAAAATGTTAATGTTGATATTATGTTAATATTCATTATTTAAAAGCACTTAATAAAAGACTAGAGAAAATATGGAGACCAAATGTGAAGTTTAATTAGATTGATAACTGATAACCTCTATATTAGTAAGAGATAAATTTAAGATGCTTGTGTTACCAAGTTTTTAAAATTTATTTCTTTTCTTCTGAAAAAAGAAGTCTTTGAAAGATAAAATGTTTTAATATAAATAAACCCAAAGATTTGACTTAGACTAATTAATGTTAAGTGCTTATTGTATTTATTAGTCTGTAGTCTGAAATACATCTGAATATACTTTATTCTAAAAGAACATCATTGAATTTTTATAGTGTCTGATAAATGTAAAATAGTACCCATTTAAATTTTCATTTTGAGCATTTTTTTTTTTTTTAAGATTTTATTTATTTATTTATTTGACAGAGACACAGTAAGAGAGGGAACACAAGCAGGGGGAGTGGGAGAGGGAGAAGCAGGCTTCCCGCTGAGCAGGGAGCCCAATGTGGGGCTCGATCCCAGGACCCTGGGATCATGACCTGAGCCGAAGGCAGACGCCCAACGACTGAGCCATCCAGGCACCCCCATTTTGAGCATTTTACTTACCAAAAGAGAAAATGACCATAGCTATAAATAAAATGATCTTACCTAGAGAATCAAAATAATGTTGCCAAATAATTCCTTTCAGTAAGCACTGTAGAGAAAAAATAAATAGTGATGTTCATTGTTTTGAATAGTAATGCTGGAAGAACATTCTAAATATAGTCAACTCTCAATTATTTAGCATAATAGAAGAAAACAAAATGGTAGGTAAATCTTGAAGTCTTTATTTGGCTGGGAAATGTGTTTGTAAAAGCGATCATATGTGATTTTTCAGCGCTGGAACTGTACTCCCCAAAATAATAAAGCCATACTTAGTCCAAAACAAACTAGAAATTTGTTAAAGTTTTCCCCATTCTATTATCTCTTATCAGTTCCTCCCTGGGACATGTTGGCATTACTAGAGCATTTTAGTCAGAGTCTCTGCCCTTAAAGGGCAAGTTAAAAAGTAACTTTATTCCTGAGAATTCATTGATTACATTACTGTGTCTTAATTGGCCAGCTCCTTTTGTTAGAAATTTGTAATCATGGAACTGAAATGATATTAGAGGCATAGAAATGTTTCAGAATAATTGATAAAAATGTTATATGACTGAGTATTACAGAGTGCTGCAATAATAATCACATGTACCAGATAACATTAAATACTTATCTGGGAGTTCTGGAAAAGGAAGAGGAAGTAGATGTCAAGGAAGAAAGTCTAATCTATTTACTGGATGAGGAATTGGTGGGAAACCCAATGTTAGCAAGGTAGACTCAAAAGAAAATTCTGATTAAGATACCTAGATTCCTATAGCTCCTGATACAAGGTTGCCAGATATACAAAGAAGGTCAAGGGTGAGGTATCTGCTGGAGAAAGTCTCTTTCTTCCTCTCCACTTCAGTCTAAGCCACTGTAAAAGGAACACGTTACATCAGGGGTTTCAAGAATCACTCTTGTACCTCCACTGACTCATCTGCTCAGGCCTGACATTCACTCCCTCAGCAGTAAAACAATGATGGAGAATGAAGTTAGACCCTTTAATGTAAATGCTTGTTTTGGTCTAGTAGTTTAGTGTATTTCTGTTAAAATGTCATACATCTCTCAGAAAGTACACATGTCAGATCATCCTCTTGTTAGGCGAAGTAAAGGAAACAATGAGAATTCAGCCATAAGATGGCCTCCATAAGTTTATATCATTCTCCTGAGCACACTATGGGCATTTAACAGTTATTGAATGAAATGAACAAAAATGGTGTTCTCTTTACCAAAAGCAACTTCACCTAGGACTGGCCTTAATTTTCTTACATTCCAATGTGTTCCGAAAATAAATATTGGGTAATGTGATATTGAGTTGAGCTCAGATTAAGCCTGAGTGGCTTACAGTGAGTGGATTAAATTTGACATTTATTTCTGTTTATTTGGAACCCAAGACATACTCAAAGTTGTATTTTGCTCTGGATCCCTCCTTTGTATGCTCCTCTTTCAGTTCTTTCCTTCCATTGTCTATTCTTCTTCCCCTGTTCGGTTTGAAGGACAAAGGTAGGGCTACATTTAGACACCCTATGGTACCCGGTGACTGGTAATGGTTTTCTGTTTCCCATATGTGCCTTTTTCTTTTCTCCTTCTCACTTCCTATCCCTTTTTTCCTTTCCTCCTCTTCTACTCTCCTACTCTCCTTTTCTTTCTCCCTTTTTCCTTCTTCACTGCCTGTGTCTTAGGCCTGCCAGTGACACATCAGGCATTGCTTAGCCCTGTCCTACACCCTTCAATGGGAAATGAACACTTGGATACCTGTGTGAACAATTAGGTATGAATTTCCCTTACAGACCGCGAAGTGCCCCAGTTTAAATAGATCTAACCTCTTAAGGTAAACCTGTTAGACATACCTTTTTCAGAGACCATGGGAACTAATGACACTTTGAATTTAAGTAGTTTTGGAGAAATTTGCATGGATAAATTGAAAGTTGGCAATACTATATTATGGCTGAAGTTTAATTATATTTCATCCTTTTATCATCTATAATTTTTCTTCTACATATCAGTTGTGATGTCATGTGCCCCAAAACCAATCCTGCAATATGAACTGCCTTTGGCCTTTTATAAGCAAAATCTTGTTTGAATTTTTATTTTATATCATAATGCCAAGATCATATTTCACTTTCATGTGTTAACAGCTATCTGAAAGTATAAAAATACAATTATATACATAATTCACAATTTTTCATCTGGCTTCATCATACCAATTAAAATTATGTTTTACACATGAATTTCTTATTAGATCTACAAACTTCTTAAAGCAAAAATAAATCTAATAAAAATATAGATAAATGTTTTCATCTAAAATTTCTTTTTTAGGTATGTGTGGCCATATTAGAAATTCAGTTGGGTTTTATTTTCTTTTTGGATGGTACTTTTCAGTTTGGTACAGAGGAAGTGCCAAAAATGTCTCTCTAGGCATTAAGCATTTCAAATCAAGCTTATTCTCCTTAAATCCTTGGTCAAGATTAATTTTAGTATGTTTCTCTTCTAAAAGCATTTTTCTTTTCTCTGTTTACTTACTCCTTTTAACTCATAGATGTATTTCTTTTTTGGGAGATAGATGAGAAAATACAATATATAATTGTTTTCTCTGAAACTGAGTATAAGAAAGATCACCTAAAATTATTTGAAGGCATAGAGAGCAATTTTGGTGTCCTATAAAAAGACAGAAATAAACTATTTTTGAGACAAGGGACTAAGGACCACATATTTCAAAACATACACACACCTGTAGTCAGTGTTACAGAAATGGGTTTTGTTTTTAAGGTTTTTTAAAAAATTAAACTATATGTAATTACAAAAAAAATTCTGATTGAAAAATTAATGAGATTCTATCAACCAGCTTTGGAAGAAACTTAGTATTGTAATACGCTGTTGCTCAAGTATGAAGCACTGCTATTTCTTTTAAAAAACTTTACTGATTGTACAGAAAGTATGGAAAATATAGAAAAGTATTTTAAATAAAATGAGTCACTGGTAATTGGCATTGTTCAGAAACAGTAATTATTAACCCTGTTATATTTCATTCGAAGATTTTGATGTGCATGTATAATTTTTTTTTAATTAACAAGGGTGTAACTGAGACACTGGGCAAATTAGCAGGCTGTTGGTACAGCTGTTTGTTCATCTGTACAATGGGGATAATAGTAGTACCTTCTTTATGGGATGATTAGGAGGATAAATTGAGAAAGTTCCTATAAGGCTACCACAAAATGATGATGATCATCCTGTTGTCTTCATTATAGTTAAGTACATTTGGTTTTGCATCTTTAAAAAAAATTAATGTGCTATCATGAACATTAAGTCAAAACTGTAAATGTTCCATGAAAATATGATTTTTGAATGGCTGTGTCATATTTTATCTTCTGTATGCTGTAATTTAACCATCCCCTTTTTTTCATCTTTTCACATTAAAGGAGAAAAAGAAATGTCCATGCTTTTTTCATTTGCAAAATGAGAATAAATTCTTCAAAATTCGGAGAAGACAACGATTCTTTCTTACTTTAGAATCTCTTATCTCCTCCTCACTGGCTTCTGCTTATTTTGTGCAATAAGTGATTTGTATAATTCATTCTTCACTTTCTTTTAAAAATTACTAAGAAACATAATTTAATAGTTTGCCCTAAGCCCTGATATTTTTTATATTTGGGGTGATGGAGGAGTAATGGCTTGATGTGCATATTATTTTTAACTTTTTGTTTAAGAGCAAGGATTACCCTTAATACTAGTTACAAGGAATAATGGCTTGAGTCAACAAGTAGGTGGCTTGTTTTGTGGACCTTTTTTGCATAAACTTTCTAAACTGATTTCTTAATATAAATAGCAAATTTATAATATCTATTTCAGGGGTATCTTTAAATTTTGATCTTTTTTTTTAAATTATGTTATATTAGTCACCATACATTACAGCATTAGTTTTTGATGTAGTGTTCCATGATTCATTGTTTGCATATAACACCTGGTGCTCCATTCAATACGTGTCCTCCTTAATACCCATCACCAGGCTAACCCATCCCCCCACCCCCCTCCCCTCTAGAACCCTCAGTTTCTCAGAGTCTGTAGTCTCTCATGTTTCATCTCCCCCTCCGATTTCCCTGCCTTCGTTCTTCCCCTCCTGCTATCTTCTTCTTTTTTTTTTTTTTTAAACATATAATGTATTATTTGTTTCAGAGGTACAGGTCTGTGATTCAACAGTCTTACACAGTTCACAGCACTCACCATAGCACATATATTGGGGAGGGTATGAATTTTGATCTTTTATTAAAGCCATCTTTATTTTAAAATTGTTGCTTTTAAAATCTTTTCTAACTTGTAAAACCCACTAAATGGTAGTTATGTTTTTAAATTTATCCTCCTAAGATTCCACCATCAAAGAAGAGGCATGAAGGAAGGACTCTTCTTATTTTGTCTTCTGATTTTTAAAATTGTTAGGATTTTTAATATAAACTACATATAAATATGCTAAAAATGAAACTTGATTTGACCAAGGAAGAAATACATTAAAAAGTAGGGAAGTCTGATTAAGGTTCATTACTGCATTCATTTAGAGAGTATGGGAAAGACATGGAAAAATGTCAGTGTTAAATAATTAAAACACTGAATTATTAGTACTGCTAGGTCTCTTGCAAGCACTTCATCAGTAACATGTGACTTACATTTTATTCCAGTTTGTCTGTATAGCCCAGCAAGATTACTGCCGTATTCTGAACCAAGTAGAAAAGAACATGCAAAAAGTTGAGGAGGAAGGAGAAATTGTTATGGTAAAAGAACACCGAGAACTTGATAGAACCGGAACAAGAAAGGGGCACATCGTCATCAAGGTAAGACAGACGTGCCTCTATCTTCTGGGAAGGATTTTTTGGTAGTATCAGTTAGTTATGACAACTTAAGATTCTGCCTGCCACATTTTTGTGTATAATTTCTCTGAAAAGTTATCAGTTGTTAAGAAAAATCTGTATACTGCCTGATGAACAGCAGTTTTATAAATTATTATATATATATATATTACTACCCAGTTCATCTTATATTGAAAATTTGGAATTAAGGTACCATATAGATGATATTTATGCAGGATAGTGATTAAACCTTTTATTTGTTACAGGGCACCTCAGAAAGATTAACAATGCATTTGGTAGAGGAGCATTCGGTGGTGGATCCAACATTCATAGAGGACTTCCTGTTGACCTATAGGACTTTTCTTTCTAGCCCAATGGAAGTGGGCAAAAAGTTATTGGAGTGGTTTAATGACCCGAGCCTCAGGGATAAGGTTGGAAAATATATTCTAGTTTGGCTTTTAAATGTGAAATATTCAGATATAAACTTAAAGATACTTTAATATTTGTCACACCAGTTATGTTCACATTATTTTAATGGAATAAGAGAATGTACTTTTTAACCCCCCAAAATGATGCAACTGCCCCCAGACTCCTGAGTTCCATTGGAATCTGCATTCTCTACTTGGGCAAATGGTCAGTGTATGTCAGATAAAGTTACAGTTTTTAAATTGGCACCAGAGCAGCATTTTATTGTAAGCATTGCTGGTCGGTAGGCCCCAGTAATATAATTCTAAACAGACTCCTTTAGCAGCTCTTGCGAGCTCTGTCAAGGCCAGATTGGATGATAAACTCTGCATACTCTTGTGAGGTGTGAGTTAATCATAGCCTGTACTCAGTTTCTCCTTTCCATGGGACAGTCTGATTTACATGAGACTTCCCAAGACTTGGGAAGACAGGTAGGGAGATCCAGAATAGGAGACTGACAGTGAAAAGTCCCCAAGTTCTCCTGCTCGTCCTACCACTAACTAGCTCTGTGGCCTTAGAGAAATTATTTGGACAGCGATGCTTTTCATTTCATATTCTGAGAGTCATAAGCCTAGAAGAGCTGAGCCAAACTCTCCAGCTGTCAAAACTTAGTTTTGAGTATTAACTCTGCCATGTATGTACTTTATGTGTCATCTGACCCCTCCTCACAATCACTTACTTGTAAAATGAATAATCATCAGCCTTTTGGGATTATTGTGAATGTGAATAATAGAAGTAAAGTTCTTTTTGTAATGCCTGACTCAATTCACTTAGTATATCTTAACACATAATACATCTTAAAAGTTGTTTGTTGGTGGTGGAAGTTGGTAGTATTCAACTTATGATTTATGAATCTCAGTTTTCTAACCTGTAATAAGCCAGTAAGACTTTTAAGTTGGCTTCTTGGCTGCAAAATTTTAATTTTATGAAAAGGTTATGTGTTTGATATAGTTTCAAGGGAGATAATCTTCTGGGTTTCCGAAACTTGAAAAATGGACAGTAGTGATTGTAAATGACCAAAAATTAATATAAATATCAAAACTTGACTCCTAAGTGTATATTAACTATAAATAGTATTTTAACTATAGTTAGAAATTAACTATATACCAGGGTGCCTGCCTGGTTCAGTCAGAAGAGCATGCGACTCTTGATCTTGGGGTTGGTTGTAAGTTCAAGCCCCACGTTGTGTGTAGAGATTACTTAAAAATAACATCTTTAAAAAAAAATTAACTAGGGGCACCCGGGTGGCTCAGTCAGTTAAGTTTCTGCCTTTGGCTCAGGTCATGATCCCAGGGTGCTGGGATCGAGCCCCGTATTGGGCTCCCTGCTCGCGGGGAGTCTGCTTCTCTGCCCGCCCCCCAACTCGTGCCCTCTCTCTCTCTTAAATAAATAAAATCTTTAAAAAAAATTAACTATATACTGTCACCTTTGTTTCTCTACTGCTAGAAGAATACCGTGCTTAATTTTCTCTTTAATTAAAAGGTTAGATAGTTTGATTAGAGGTTAAGATGTTTGAAAACAATTCTATGGAAAATTGCTTTTATGTTGTTATTTAAAATTTAGAAAACTAAACTCATAAGTAAAACAAATACTTTTATATTTATTTATTTTTAATTTTATTTTATTGTGTTATGTTAATTACCATACATTACATCATTAGTTTTTGATGTAGTGTTCCATGATTCATTGTTTCGTGTAACACCCAGTGCTCCATTCAATACGTGCCCTCTTTAATACCCATCACCAGCAAATACTTTTATATTTAAAGTCACAGTTATACTCACTTCATTTAGTAAAAAAAAAATTTTTTTTAGAGAGAGTGCACCAGTGGGGAGCAGAGGAGGAGGGGAGGGAGAGAGAGAATCTTAAGCAGGCTCCATGCCCAGCACTGAGCCCAATGCAGGGCTTGATCTCATGATCCCCTGAGATCATGATCTGAGCCAAAATCAAGAGTCAGGCACTTAACCAACTGAGCCACCCAGGCATCCCCATTTAGTAAAATTCTGTTGAGAATTCACTCTATGCCAGGCTTTGTAATAAGTCTTAAGGATGTCCTTCGAACATAACAGATGAAGCTGTCCACGTGGAACTTAGAGTCTAATGAAAGTCACACACTTCTTGCTGAGTAAAACACAAATATTCTCTAACTATGTGTCTGTATAAAGGAGGTACAGAGCTCTGTGAAAACAAGTGTGCAGTGTAAGAAAGGCTACTCATTTTTCCTGAAGAATTGTAGCTATTAAAAGCCTCCTAAATCTTAATGTTAGCAAGTAAGATGTAACTCCCAGTAACTTTCAGGCAGCTCCTTCCTTTTACAACTTGTTCCTTTGTAGATCTTTCTAGGCCTCATACTATTCATTCCTTTTGTCTATTCTGCCCTCTGCCATTATTTTTTAGTTTCTGTCTTCTTTTGTCTTGTATTTATTTTGGTTTTATTATAGCTTTGTTTTTTTGTGTGACTGGCTTAAAATATGTTTTGAGAGTAGACAAGATACAAGTACCACCCTTCACAGATTCAAAACCTTTCTGGGCAAAACAACAAAAAGTCTATATTCATAATATATATATTTTCAGAAGGTCATTTTCTTATGAGTAAAATCCTTGCTGTGAGGAGTTTTATTGTTAGTTTATTGTCCCTTGTTATTAAGTAAATTGTTTGCTAGATATCTTTTTTGAAATGACTTTAATCGCACATTTTTAGCCCTGAAAAGAAGAAAACCTATTGAAAACAATTGCTTTTTCAGGTTACACGGGTAGTATTATTGTGGGTGAATAATCACTTCAATGACTTTGAAGGAGATCCTGCAATGACTAGATTTCTAGAAGAATTTGAAAATAACCTGGAAAGAGAGGTAATATTTGTGATTTAAAAAAAGTCATCAATTTTAAGTTCATTTAATTCAGCCTATTTTTGAAACCATTCTTTCTGACCTTTTATAGAAAATGGGTGGACATCTAAGGCTGTTAAATATTGCATGTGCAGCTAAAGCAAAAAGAAGATTGATGACGTTAACAAAACCATCCCGAGAAGCTCCTTTGCCTTTTCTCTTACTTGGTGGCTCAGAGAAGGGATTTGGAATTTTTGTTGACAGTGTGGATTCAGGTAGCAAAGCAACTGAAGCAGGCTTGAAACGAGGAGATCAGGTATGATATTTCTAAGTCCAAACTTCAGGGTGAATACTGGTGACTTTTTTCTCCAATCAATTGGGATGCTGAAATAAATTTCATAATTTTATTTTTAGATATTAGAAGTAAATGGTCAAAACTTTGAAAATATTCAGCTGTCAAAAGCTATGGAAATCCTTAGAAATAACACACACTTATCGATCACTGTGAAAACCAATTTATTCGGTAAGTAGTTTTGCATACTTTCATTTTTCTGCTTTCAGTCTTTTTTTTTCCACATTTAGGTCTTAATCATGACAAAAGTCATTTTTATAAGTAATATTTCAAATATAAGAATCAAGATACAGTAAAATGCATATACATAGATATTATTTATGTAAGTATATATAGATATTAATTATGTAAGTATATAATTCGGTCTAAATCAAAATCCGCTAACTTGAGGACCATAAAAATTATTTTTATTTATAAATGTCTTAAACATCCATTATGTTAAATACTTATAAATAGTCCTGTATTGTAACTTATTCTGAATGGAAGTGGTAGAGCAACATAACGAAGCAGATTCTTGGTGTCATTCATTCATTGGAGTAGTATTTTTCAATAGGATTATAGTTTTGATAGCTGAAGTGTCTACTTCTCACCTATTTCCGAGTTCTACAACTTGCTTTGAATTGCTTAGATTTCTTATAATGGGCGTTTTTTGGTGTTTCTTTCCATTTTAGTATTTAAAGAACTTCTAACAAGATTGTCCGAAGAGAAAAGAAATGGTGCCCCTCACCTTCCTAAAATTGGAGACATCAAAAAGGCCAGTCGCTACTCCATTCCAGATCTCGCTGTAGATGTAGAACAGGTGATAGGACTTGAAAAAGTAAATAAAAAAAGTAAAGCCAATACTGTTGGAGGAAGGAACAAGCTAAAAAAGATACTCGACAAGACTCGGATCAGTATCTTGCCACAGAAACCATATAAGTAAGTGTCTGTGTAAATTTTCTGTGCATTATTTTATTGTGTTAAAATGATATGCAAAGGTAGTGATATAATTAATGTTTACACATGAATCTAAAAAATGTTCTAAGCTTTTATAGCTGAGCTATCTTAGAAGCAATATTAAATAACCACGTTAATTTTAACTCATATATTCGCCACTTGTCCAACACAGGCTTCATTAGCACTTCCTCATTCGAACTTTTTTTTTTAATCATTTGAACTTAAAAAAATTAAGAATGTATGTTTGCTCCTGTTTCACCCATGGTTTGAAGTTATTTTTGCTACTTTTTCTTTGTTTCTGGATATCTTCTCTACCATCAGTATCTGCTTTTTGACAACCAAATCATTGCTTCTTCTAGTTGCTACTATTTATCCTTGCAATGCATTCTCCTTTTTCCTCCCTCTGTTTTCTGTTATTTAATTGTTGCCAAGACATCACCATCCAAGCACAGAACTCCTTTCCTTCTCTCAGTGGGTCCTTCTCTCAGTCAGAATGTCAGGTGTATTCTTGAATCTCTTCTTGGCTGCTTATTTATGCCAGGAGCTCAGACTGGACAAAGTTGTAGGTGTCACAGTTTTTAAGTCTTGTGTGTTTGTTTGCCTGTTTGCTTGGTTATTTCTTCATTTTAGCACCTTCTGAGTCTAGATATCTTATAAAACTCAATTACCATTAGCCAAAGTTTTTTTTTTTTTTAATGTTAAATAACCTGGATGTAATAGATAACCCGTGGGTGGCTCAGTTGGTTCAGCCTCCGACTGTTGATTTTTGGCTCAGGTTGTGGCCTCAAGGTCCTGGGATTGGCCATGTCTGGCTCCACACCCAGTGAGGAGTCTGCTTCTCTCCCTCTCTCTCTGCCCCTCCCCTTCCTTGTGCACGTGCTCACATGCACGTGCACTATCAAATCATAAATAAATAACATGGATCCACCAAATGCATTTATTTTATATTCCTTGAACTATAGTGATGTAAGAGAGAAGTTCAAAGCATGTAGGTTATTTTTCTTTCTTTAATAATATAATGGGTCTTCTAGAGGAACAGTAGATACAGACATTCAGAACTATATCAAACATTTCTTAAATTCCATTTCAGATAAAATTTTTATCCACAGGTTAGAGAGATATGGCCCAAAATATAGTATTGATGGGAGTGTCAAACATGTGTTGTCCCCACTGAACTATAAGGATTAGTGGGTTTGTATCAGCTAAAAAGACTTCTATAAGAGTCCTAAGGATAAGCAATGAATATGATGGTTTTATTTATAGACTTGAGAGCATGTTTATATTGAGTAAGTTTCTAATAAGTAATGGATTAGGCCTGTTAACATTACAGAGAATAGGAATTGATTTTTAAAGTGACCATTTTAGATTTAAAAAAAAACAACTTATTTTTAAATGGGCAAAAAAATAAATTACTTAAATGTAGAATTATTAGCAGCACAATAACAAAAATATCCTGTAGTCATATTTGACCATGAGTTAAATAAGAACCTTAAAAAAAAAGTTAAATAAAAGTCAGCATGACCCTGGCAAGTATTAATAGAAACGTGACATGTAAGAACTGGGAACACGAAAAAAAAAAAAAGAACTGGGATATAAGCCATCCACAGTACAGGATGTTGGCAAGGAACACAGTATGAGAATACTATGTATAATTTTGTCCTATGTGTATTCAAAAGCTGGAGAAGGGAAAAGAAGATAATAAGATGTGTTGATTTTGAAACACTGAGGAAACATCTTAATTTGTATTTAAGAACGTGTATGCCTCTTTTAAGTATTTTATTGTGAAAATTATTTGAAATAATTCATATATGTAAAGCAACTGAAATGAAAAAAATTATATTTAAAAGAAGGCTCAGTAAACTGTAGGATCTATTATATGGTGTGATAGTCTTGATTTAATTCTAGTTATTACTTAAACTTTGCTCTCCTAGAAATCAGCATGTTCACAAAGGTTTTTTTTTTTTTTTTAAACCACTAAATTAGTCAGTTAGACAAATCTTCTAGATATACTGTGGTTCCTTCCCCCACCAAACACTGTCAGTATTACAGCAGGTAAGATGCTGGATGATGGGCGTATTGGCAAGAATAGGCATCATGGTGTAATAACGGTGGGGGAAGAAGAGGATGAGGCAAGAGGATTATAGGACTCAGATCTGGTTATAAGGTAAGTAGAGAAAGACTGATGAATCCTGAGAAAAGAGGGAATAAGTCAACAAACTATAGAATCAACAAAGGCCAAAAAACAGTTTTAGTAACAGTGAGAGAGTTGGAGAGATCGAAAAATAAGAGAATGTGCTCAGAGAGGGACATTTCTGAATTAAGTCTTGAAATATAAAGTAGTTTCAATCCAAGAGTAGCCTCACGTCTGTGGATAAGAGAGATAGAGGCAAGAGTTAGATCTTCATTTTAGGTGTTAAAATGTTGCTGAGAAACATTTCTTAGGAAGGTAGCTCTAGTATTTTTAGCCATTTGTGGCAGTGGTGATCCAGTTGGCTATATCCTTGGCCTGAGTCCACAGTAGTAGTCTTATGTCATGGATTATATCTGAGATTTTTGGCAGAAAGGTTTATATGGATGAAAAATGAAATTTTACTAATGTGAAGGTCTTAATGTTTCACAGAACATTAATATTTCTCATCTTCATATGCATGCCTATATGTGCTTAAATTGAATTGAATTTTGTCATTCACTTACCTATGAATTTGGAAGAATTTACACTAATATCTTTAATTTTTATGTTGACTTTAAAAGAAAAATCTTATCCTTGCTTATTTAACTTTAGAATTTCCATTCTTTCCCCCCTCAAAATAAAGAATGCAGCTAGATTTTTTTTTTTTTTATCACAGCCACTAAAGATAGTAGGTACTATGATCAAGCTCTAATGTCTGAAAACCTAATTGATACTAAATGTTAAGTTTATTTATGACACCTTGGACACCCAACCTTAGTACAGTTTTCTTTCTCCTCGTTTTAAGGTATTTCTAGAAATTAGTTAGAACTATAAGCATTTGCTTATGATCTAGTTATTTTGTGTGTGTCCATGCTTATTATTTTAATTCTAATGTTTTGGAAACAGTTGACTCTTCAATTCTGGAAATTTTTATGTTATTAAATCACTTTTTAAGGATTGTCCACAGTAACAGACTTTTTACAAATGGAACTAATTTTGTAGCTATCAATAATAAGCAGTATTTCTCTGGGAACTTAAATGTCTAACTAGAAATTTTGAGTAGAGAATTAAAAGTGAGTCATTGGATTTCCATTGCCTCTTCTTTGATGCTAAGAAATATCACCATGCATCACTGCTTTTTTATGCTTTGTATAATTAAGAAACAGTGTCTGTGTCAGGGTTTCTTTACATTTGACTCCATAGAGATTTCATTTATTTCTCTGAAACATTGGAGGATGAAATTAGGACAGTTTAGATTTTTTTCCCCTCTGTTCATTTTACTGTTTTTTTCAGTTTTTAAAGATCAGATTATAAAATAATTTATCATTCTGATGCATAAATCATCAATTGAATGAGACTAAATGCACTCTTTTCGATGTGCTTTTTCTTAAATCTATTTCCAGGAGTAAATAGAGCTTATCTTCTCTTGAATATACTGATAAACTACTAGTATTTGTTATGCTCTGTCTAGTGAAAAAGACATAGATTTTGGAGTAAAATATGCTTAAGAAACAGCAAGATAAGTTGAGTTAGATACACTTAAGCAGTACTTGCTATTGCTGTTTTCAACCAAATTTATTAATGGTACTTTTAAATTAACTGCAAGTCTTAGGAAATATGGTTTATTTATGGTTTGCGTCTATTACGTATGAGTTATAGCCTTTTTACTTGTGGATCATTGATTTTTCTAATTTTTCCTCTTTTTTCAGTGATATTGGGATTGGTCAGTCTCAAGACGACAGCATAGTGGGATTAAGGCAGACAAAGCACATCCCAACTGCGCTGCCTGTCAGTGGAACCTTGTCATCCAGCAATCCTGACTTGTTGCAGTCACATCATCGCATTTTAGACTTCAGTACTACTCCCGGTGAGCCCTGCCCATGCCGCTTTTGTTTTCTTGTAGTAATCTGTTTGCTTCTAACATAATGGTGATGCTCTATGCTCTTGGTTTGGCGTGGATTATGTCAAAAATGCTGAAAGTTAGAATGAACCTTAAATTTCAAGCAACTGGAATCAGTTCTTTTTTATTCTTCAGACTAATTTCATAGGCAAATCAGTCTCTCTGAACTTGTTTTCTTTTTCATAAAATGAAGATAACACATACCATGCAGATTATTACTAGGTCATCTTAAATAATGTAAAAGGAATATTTTAGGTTAGCTAAATGGGATTTTCAGTATAATAAAGAAAGATTTTAGATTTAAATTTTTCATTTTTTTGCTACCAACCTGACAATCTTTTTTTTTTTTTTTGGATGTGTTAACAACCTAACAATCTTAAGTGATGCGGTTGTGTACTGATACGTTTGCATTTGTCTGTGGATCAGGCGTTCGGTTATCTACAGGGAAAAATGTGTTCATGCAGCAAATCAATATGTTGACTGCTCAAATCTTTGAAGAAGGATTATGAGGGAGAGATGAAATTCGTTCAGCGTTATCTTTTCTCAGGAGGTTTTTCAGATTACTTCACTTAATGTTATTACCATATACTAAAATCCTTTCTACTTACATATGGCCTTTCTTTCCCCCCAGACTTGCCAGATCAAGTGTTACGGGTTTTTAAGGCTGACCAGCAAAGCCGATACATCATGATCAGTAAGGACACCACAGCAAAGGAAGTCGTCATTCAGGCCATCAGGGAGTTTGCTGTGACTGCCACCCCGGATCAGTATTCGTTGTGTGAGGTCTCCGTCACACCTGAGGGTGTCATCAAACAAAGACGACTTCCGGATCAGCTTTCCAAACTTGCTGATAGAATACAACTGAGTGGAAGGTATATGATATCTATTCTGTTGGATTTCTTTAACCCCTCTTCAAACCCACACCAAAGTCTAAGAAATGAACACTTTCAAAGGGTTTTTAAAATGAATTAAGTACCCCTGCAAACTAGAAAGAAGTATTTTCCCATTCTCTAAGAATTGCTGTATCAAAGTAAATGTACCCCATAGATTGTTGACCCTCATGAGGATCTCTTAGGAACCCTTTCCAAAGCAGGGCAGTGTGCTCTGAATGTTGTTACGGTCTGTCAGGGCACCGGCAGTCACTTCTTAGACTCGCCCTTGAGGACAGGCTCTCTTCTTGGATGTGTACATTCACAGACACATTTTTAAAGAATATTCTAGTGTCAGTTGCTCCTGCCTGCCTAACTTTTCTAGGAGCTTCATTTGTTTAGATGACGATATCTAGGACAACGTGGTTGGCCGATGCTGCCTGTGATCATGCATTACACTATGAAAAGTACCTCGCTCTAGAACTAAACTTGTAGTTGCTTTGGAGCTTGGTCTCCTGCTGTGTAACTGCTTATCTCACATATTACTGGCAAGAAAACGTTACTTCCCTTGATATATATCATTTGTATCCTCAAACCACAAATTAGTGAAAGTTGAAAAAGTGATTAAGTTTTGGCTCTCATTTAATGACCAGATTCTGCACTGATGGAATATTAAGTAGTTCCATAAATCACATATTTTTCCTTTCTTTCTTGCCAGATGGAGTGTTTTATTGTACTTGACTTTTCCATTATCTGTATCTAAACCTAATCTAATTCATTCAAAACTTCGTTTTTCTTGCTATCAACTGTAACTTCCGTACTCTCCTTCACTCCTCCTTTATTTCCAACCCTGACACTAGCAGTTAGTGTTGTTTTAGGAGATCAGTTTTTCTCACGGTCATTTGAATGTACATTGATATGTCTGTATCCATGATGGAGTACTACAAATCTCCACTGAGGTGCAGATTCATGATTCACATTCAAGAAAATTATAGATGAATACATGTCATGGGCTTAATGAGTAATGAAAACTGGGAACATTAAATCTGTGAATGTGAAGGCCTCAAGTTATGTGTTTCCTGTCCTGGTTGCTTTGCCAGTTTGTCAGGACTCCCACTGTCTATTCTGTTTCTGTCTTTATGGAATTTGGCCTAGGAAAAGCATCTGTCTACACCCCCCCCCCCCAAAAAAAAACCACAGGGCAAACATCTGGATTCTATTTTCAACAAGTTGTTTACAGAGAGAAAGGAGTATTGATGAGTTCTCATCTCTGTCACTGATATTAACTACTCATTAATATTTGGGAGCCTCTGCTTCCTCATCTGGTAAGAATAATACCTGCCTCACTTGTAGGGTTTTTGTGAAAATCAGGTATTTAAAAGTTAAAAATCTGTATTAGGATTGTTGTACTCATAGTATCAAACAGAGGGGAATAGCTTATAGATTTCTTTGGTTTTTGAATAAATAGGTAAACTTGGATTAATCCAGTTTGGACCCATCAATAGTCACAGATTCTCTCTGTGAAAACAGAGTGATGACCTGTGTCTGATCTCTCCTGCTGCCTTCCTTACAGCCTATTTTCTTATTTAAACTGAAATTTCAAATTTAGCTCTTTTCTGTCACTTTTAGCAAAAACAGATAAAATCATCTAGAAAGCAGGGAAGGGCAGGAGAAAAATGCATTACAACTGATACAGATGAAATAACATGTGATTCGTTAGCTTCCACCAGTGGCTTCTGGATAGGTGATTCTGTGAGCCGGTGACTCAGGCAGCAGCTGCATTCTCTGTCCTTATAGAGAAGAATTCCTCCATCCTTCAACTGAGCGTTCTTATAAATATTGTCTACAAAGCAGCATTATTCTTTCAAGTAATGTCATGAGACTACTGCTTAGGCTTTGAATTCTGTGTTTTGCATAGGTATTACTTGAAAAACAACATGGAGACAGAAACTCTTTGTTCAGATGAAGATGCTCAGGAGCTGTTGAGGGAGAGTCAAATTTCCCTCCTGCAGCTCAGTACTGTTGAAGTTGCCACACAGCTCTCCATGCGAAATTTTGAACTTTTCCGTAACATTGAACCGACTGAATATATAGATGATTTATTTAAACTCAAATCCAAAACCAGCTGTGCCAACCTGAAGAAATTTGAAGAAGTAATTAACCAAGAAACATTTTGGGTAGCATCTGAAATTCTGAGAGAGACAAACCAGCTAAAGAGGATGAAGATCATTAAGCATTTCATCAAGATAGCACTACACTGCAGGGAATGCAAGAATTTTAACTCAATGTTTGCAATCATCAGGTAAGAGAGCGTACTGGTCCTAAGATTCAATTCAGTTTGTAGATCAAAAATATATATCAATCCAGGAACACCATATAATTTGTGTAAGGGTAGCAGTTTTTAATTGAATCACATTGAATGATTCTTTTTCTCTGAATCCAATCGTTCTTAATTTAAAATCTCCTGTAAGCTACATGTAGAGCCCAGAAAAAGCTATATTCGCTACTTTTTTTTTTTTAGTTCTGTGAACTAAAAAAATGGACAAATTATTTGAATTTCTCTGAACATCAGTTTATTTCTCTGTAAAATAACAATGTCCCAGAGAGTAATTGAGTAGATTAAATGGTATTATGTATGTGGAGTTCTATCAGCTAGCACAAAGCAGGTGCCCAGTAAATGTTCATTTTCTTCCCTTTTAAAAGTGCTTATATTGAGGCTGGAAGAAAATATAAACCAAAACAATTAGCAAAATTGATAGTCATGGTGATATTAGTCATTTTCTGTCACTAGGAGTTTGAGCGTACTCTCATTTCTATTAGGACTTTCATTTTATTATTACAGGATAGCTGGCTAGTCTGTTTTATCAAATGCCCACTATGTGCCAAGTGCTTCTCTATGTGCAGAGACAAAGCTGCAAAACAAAATGCTACCCTCGTGATACATCACATTCTAGTTTTTTGTTCATAAAAAACAGACTAGAGGGCGCCTGGGTGGCTCAGTTGGTTAAGCGACTGCCTTCGGCTCAGGTCATGATCCTGGAGTCCCTGGATCGAGTCCCGCATCGGGCTCCCTGCTCGGCAGGGAGTCTGCTTCTCCCTCTGACCCTCCCCCGTCTCATGCTTCCTGTACCTCATTCTCTCTGTCTCAAATAAATAAATAAAATCTTTAAAAAAAAAAAAACAAACAAACAGACTAGAAAGCTATAAAGGGAAGAAGAGTAATAACCCTTGGCCCTGACCCTGCTGCTATCTTCAATTCTCATTACCCAGAATTATTAATAGTTTCTTATGAATCCTGTACATTGCTATGTGTATACAGCATAAACACAGAGGTGTTCTATATTAATAAACAGTATGCTATTTTACTTCCATCGTTAATGAGTAATTTGGTTTTATGTCACTTTTCTTTTTTCCCTTTCAGTGGCCTAAACTTGGCGCCGGTGGCAAGACTACGAACCACCTGGGAGAAACTCCCCAATAAATATGAAAAGCTGTTTCAAGATCTCCAAGACCTGTTTGACCCCTCCAGAAACATGGCAAAATACCGCAATGTCCTCAACAGTCAAAACCTACAGCCTCCCATAATCCCCCTATTCCCAGTTATCAAGAAGGATCTCACATTCCTTCACGAAGGTAAACCTCAAGTAGATGTTCTGTCTTCACTTGTGGACGCACAGAATAAATGAATGCAACGTGATCCCCTTTTTCTTCTTTGCCAATTATAGGCAATGACTCAAAAGTCGATGGGCTAGTCAATTTTGAGAAGCTAAGGATGATCGCAAAAGAAATTCGTCATGTTGGTCGCATGGCTTCAGTTAACATGGACCCTGCCCTCATGTTCAGGACTCGGTGAGTGTGTCGAGTTCAGTAGCACATGTGGGATTAGAGAAGTTTGGGCTTAGAGCTTCCTAATAAAGGAGAAATTTTTGAATATTTATATTTGTAACATGGTAGAAATTGTGTAAGGTCATGCTGAGAATCCCCCTTGAGCTCCAGTTTGAAGTAAATGTCTTATTCTTCATCAGGTACACTTTTGACTGTTACTAAGAACAGCTTGTCCCGTAGAAATTTTTCACTTGACACGAGGCAGAACTATGCCTTATTTGTCAGAACACCAATTTGTGGAGCTAAAACTCGTAATTGATAGGATGAACCGAAATATGTAGAGAACCCAAACAGTATTGTCTCAGTTTCTGTACAATGGATTTAGTTGTCAGTGGAGGCAAAAATGATTAATCCAGTGAAGGAGAGGAGTTTTTAGAACAAAAATTTTAAATATATCTGTCTTTTGAGCCAGAAGATTATTGCCAGTAAAGTTGCGTGTGTGAGGTGATTATGCAGTTTAATGTTTGTGAGCTGCTAGGACTGCTTACCCAGAAGTCTAGTCCCTTCTTTCTGAGCTTGTGATCTTTCTGTCTCTCTTTCTACACCCATGCTTCAATCTCCATGGCTCTCACTTACAGGAAGAAGAAGTGGAGGAGTTTGGGGTAAGTGGTGGAGACCTTGCAAACCCACACACGATTCTTATTCTGCTCATTGCATTGTTTTCTTACCTGCTATATTTTCTGATGCTTTGCATTTTTTTCTTAACCCTCTTGCTCTAGCAGAATTTCAGCTGGCAAACTGACTTCAAGTTTAATCTGTTGGGGCTTTTGCTTTTGAGGTCATGATCCATGACAGCCGTGAAATGATGGATGATGGTTCTGGGAAACTGTAGGCCAGGCATACTTCGGAACTTTCAAAAAGATTTTAATTTGTGTGCTTTGAAATGGAGAAAGCCTAATGTGGGGTTAGGGGAGGAAGAACATTAAAAGGAAAAACTGTGCAATTTAAATAGTATTGCACAGATATTTAAGTAAATATGTATAATACAAAAAGTGCCCCTACGTGTTAAAACTAAATTTTTTATAGCTCAACTAACTACTATTTTCATTCTATAAGCCAGTACTTTTTAAACGTAATTCTTAACAATTCATGTACTAGTTTCTATATATATATATATATATGTTTACATTTGCATGATCATTTTATTAACAAATTGACCCATGTTACTTTAAAAACTCATTACATTTAACTCAAGGAATAAGGAAATGATTGTGAACAGTGTAAAAGCTAACTTCATTTAAATTTAGGTAAGACATCCTCTTTAAAAAAAAAAAAGACATCCTCTTTAAAAGAGAAGTAAATTTAATGTAAATCTCAATGATTTTGACTGTGTATTGCATGAGCTTATATATATAATCATTATTATTTGCTGGCTTCTATGGAAGAACTGCCTTGAATGCTCTATAGATGAGAAAAGCAGAATTTCCTAATTGGACTAGAACCAGGTGCCAAACATATATATGTTTGTGTGTGTGTGTGTGTGTGTATGGTTTTTTAACTTAAAGAACATTTTAATCTGTATTAGTCTATATTTCTCTGTAACAGTTTACTTACCAGAATGAGGCATGTGATCTTTTGAACATAAAATACTTACGTAAGTCTTGGCATGTTTCAAATCGCTGCCGTAACCCCGTGCTAGAGTGAGCTGCATATCTGCCTTTTCATCTTCCAGGTCTCTCAGCCAGGGTAGTACAAATGCAACAGTGCTAGACGTTGCTCAGACAGGTGGTCATAAAAAGCGGGTACGTCGTAGTTCCTTTCTCAATGCCAAAAAGCTTTATGAAGATGCCCAAATGGCTCGAAAAGTGAAGCAGTACCTGTCCAATTTGGAGCTCGAAATGGATGAGGAGAGTCTTCAGACATTATCACTGCAGTGTGAGCCAGCAACCAACACGTGTGAGTTTTTCCCTGAAGTGGCTGCGGAATCTGACTGGAATGCAGAGTGGTTTCCTGTGCGGTGGTATGGGCCGCGACAAATGGGGCTTCAGCGCGCAGGGGTACTTAGCATCCCGGGGACACACCAGCCTTTCCCTTGAATGCTACTGTTGGTACCGTGTCGTACTGTCCTAGGCTAGACCTTGTGTCCCACTAGGTTAGTGTCGGGAGGATGACATCAGAGACTGACTGATAGCGCCTGCAGTTTTTGGCTGCATCCCTTTTTCTCACAAAGATACTTCCAGATTGATGGGCCACCTGAGAGGGGCCAGGGGCCTACCTTGTCAGAGGGGCCCGTACCTAGGCGAGCTGGCTGCCTTTTAGACCCTCAGCCGGGACAGCAGCCAGCAGTAAGTTCACCTACCACATAAAGCAGTAATTCTGCTATGCGGTAGCCTAACGTGTAGCTTCCCAGCCTTTAAAAATCTGGCCAGGCTAGAAGTGGGGACAGTTTTCTGTTTACTTGCATCTGCATTTGTGTGAGATAGAGGCATTTTCCGCATAGGACACTTCTGGGTCTTTCATGGGCAGGTTTGAAGATACCTTTTATAAAGACTTGAAACGTTAGATGATTTGAGAAGATTCAAATTACTAGATTTTCTCAGGGTGCTATGGAAACAACTGTGTGTCATGATGAAGAGTTTGTTCTCTGGAGTCAGATTGGGTTTGAGTTCAAATTCTGTTTGTTCCTCAAAATAGCAGTGTCACCTTAGGCAAGTTATGTGAGCTGCCTAATCCTTAGCTTCTTTATGTGTAAAATGGAGGAAGTATATCTATGTCAGTGAGTTGTTTCAAATATTTATATACATACAGAATTTCATTGCCCTACTAAATTGGTTTACTTTCTATATGCCGTGGAATTATATACTCAGTATAATAGTCCAGCAGTATTGGTTGCTATTAGCGAACATAGATCCTTCTACCCATAGGAGAGAGAATTTGACAGTAACAAGATTACAATTCATACCATTTATTAAATAAAAACTAGGCTCATGTATGTCAAGGAGCTTTGGACTCCATTTTGAAAAGTAATTCCTAACAATTTTCCAGTTGTAGCTTTTACCATTTGTGCTTTTTATATACATACACATAGCATATTGGGCTCCCCATATTTTTCTATTTTTATTTTAATGTGGTAGTATTTAATAGTATAATTATCATTTGAGAGCTAGTTTCGTAAAATAAATATCTTTTCCTGTCATGCCTTTATGATTTTCTGTAGCTGAGTTCTCTCCCACCCCCATTTCTGTCTTTTATATAGGCAATAAGAAAAAAGATAAGAGATACATTTTAGTGTTCCAAAGTGTAGAAAATACTCAATGCAGTTCTAAACTTATCTGGTATATAGTTACTAACCTCTGAAATTTCTTGTTCTGTTTTCAAACCAAACAATGAACAGTGCCTAAGAATCCTGGTGACAAAAAGCCTGTCAAATCGGAGACCTCCCCAGTGGCCCCAAGGGCAGGGTCGCAACAGAAAGCACAAGCCCAGCCTCAGCCCCAGCAGCCACAGCCCCAACATAAAATCAACCAGGGACTGCAGGTTCCGGCTGTGTCCCTTTATCCTTCACGAAAGAAAGTCCCCGTAAAGGATCTCCCACCTTTTGGTAGGTGATTAAAACCATATCTTTTGAGGCTATTCGGTGTCATGTTTTTCAGATTAGGAAAAAATCCTTATCTTGAATAACTCTGTTATCTAATATACTTGAGTCTCTCTCCGATTGTTACCTCTTAATAAAACATTAATGTTCACTAAGTGAAATGTTACTTTTGCCGGTGGAAGGGACTGTTTATGTTACAGAGTTTCTCATTTAATCATGCTCATTGGTCATGGCAGTGGGTGGGTGGGGGTGTGAAATGGGAAAATTTTGCTTTTATTAATTTGATTTTTAACGAGAACAGAAGTTGCTTTGTCCATATACATTATTTAAACTAGCTTGGCTTATGATCAATGAATTGCTAGAATTTAGGCAGAATATTTTTAAGTGAAATGATTTGTCTGGAGGTGAATTCTTATTTGTTGAATCACTGATTCTTATAACTTGAGGGGGAAATATAGTTAATTCCTGAGTTAAGAGGCCAAATCATGCTTCATCTTCCATTTAAATATATCTACAAGTTTAGTCCCTTTATGTAAATGGTACAACAAAATTATATATCATAAAATGTATGGGTTCTTTTTTATACGTGTGTGTGTGTGTGTGTGCAAGGAAACAATGTTAATAAAAGGGAAGAAATTAAAAAAAAAAACTTGTAGTAGAGTTTACTTAGATAAAATAGGTACTTGGTCACTGATGCAGCGCCTGCCCAATTACAACCTGTCCTTATGAGGTTAGCAGGAGTCTTATAGTAGGTCCTTCATACTCTTATCTTTGGCCCTTTCTTCCTGATCAGCAAATATGCCATTTGTTGAATTTGGGTAAGAGTGACAAAAGAATACCTTTACTTGACATTTCCCCTTTGAAATAGTTGTATTGCTCTCCCTATCACAAACTGAGTTACATGTTTATTTGTCCACTATCTTATTAATATTTATATACTCCTAAATCCCCTGCAACCTTTTATTTCCTCTTTTACACTGAATTTCTTATATGGAAGTTTATCAGTCTTTTAGCTAAATATAGCCTATTAGCCAAACGTATAGGTGTGCCTGAGTATAAAGCACTTTTTGAATCTGTGTATAATGCTGGCCTTGGAATTCTTTCCCAAATCAATACTATTTATTCATACAGTTTTAGTGTAGCTAACATTTTCATGCATCTTGGTTATATTAGCATCTATACATGTAAATAAAATATTGCTTTAAAAGTGGCTTTAAAAAACTGTGTTAAAACAAGATCAAATGCTTACATGAGGTGAAATGAAGGATTACATCTTTGTTAAATTTTACTGCCTCCTTCTTAATGGATTCTGTTAAGTTTAAGAACATTAAAACTAGCATTGATCAAGGTAGTGTCAGGCTATCATGCCTTTCCAAATATCTCTTTGTTGTTTAAAATAAGGTAATTGAGAGTGCCTCATAGGAATACTAGAGGCTTTGTAAAATATTTTAACGTGAGTACCTTATTTCTAAAAATAATTTTTTGGGGGGAAATCACCTCATATTGGCATATGTAATCCTTTTCCTTCTACACTCACCTTATTTGATCCTATACTTGGCACTGGATCACTCCTCTGAAAATCATCTCCCCTGATTTCTGTGACACAGGGCACTTTCATGGGTCTCCTTCTGCCTTCTCTTTCATCTACTTATTTGATCAAATATTAACTGTATGGAATTCCTTAGAATGCTTTTATTCACTTTTCTTACTACTTTTGTTTAGCTCTTGGCTCGTTAGTTTTCTCCCATCGTTCCCACTTCTCCTGAGCTCACATATCCAACAGTACCAAAATACCTGTTTGAGTTCACCAAAATACTCAAACTTGAATTCTAATAATAAATATGCCTGGCTGTATCACTTTCATCCTAAATTCTAATATTTTCAAGTTGTGCTTGTTTTTCTCTTCATTGTTTAATATATTGTTGAATAAAGATGGTGATTACTTTAAGATTTAGAATCTAAAGTAAAATACCAAAAACGGTCTGTTTCTAGCACTCCAGCAGGTAGCAATCAGAAACCACATTACAGGTATCGTGTGCCTTCTGCAAGCTTACTGTTTATACCATGATGAGTACAAAGACTGTTGAGATTATAAATACATTGAAACTGAGTGTAATGTTAAGTCTTACAAAAAGATTATAGTTATTAACGTTATTGCTTTTTCGTCTTGAAAATACGTATTTCTTTCTTTTACAGGCATAAACTCTCCACAAGCTTTAAAGAAAATTCTTTCTTTGTCTGAAGAAGGAAGTCTGGAGCGTCATAAAAAACAAGCAGAAGATACTATATCAAATGCATCTTCACAGCTCTCTTCTCCTCCCACTTCTCCACAAAGTTCTCCAAGGAAAGGTAGAACTAAATTACTTGTTTCCCTTTATAGTGATCTATAACATTTCAGCTATAATCAATTCCAGAGTTACATATTACATCATTTTTGATTAATATTAGAGTCATTTAAAATGATCTACTATGTAATCCCTAAGAGATTTTTCCCCCCCTCAGTTTATAAATTTGGAAGAATTTTGGTATTTTTTAATATTATATTTCTAGTAAGTAGTGTTAAACTAGATAAGGCCTTTTAAAACATTTAAGATTTTTATTGATTTTAAGTATGGAAATAATTCTTTTTGTACCAAAAGTTGTTCTAACTAAATATGATTATATAACAATAATTACAGAGTAGAGGACTTTAAATACATAAGAAAAACTAGTATCTTCCTGATTTATTTTTTCATTGTATTAACACGGGTCTTGATTATCTTTTTTTGTCGCTGTTTTATTTTTAAAAGAGATTAAATTTTATTTTAGGCAAACTCTCTCCCTTATATTGATGCTTTCTGAGATTACAGTAACAGTGGCTTTCTGCTGCATAACCCCCCGAGTTGCTCTCTCCTCCTCCCCTGTAAGTGAATGGGGGGAAGCCCACCATAAATGGCAAGACGGTTTTCTCTGGAGGAAGGCCAAAGAGATTAACAAACTGTTCGATCTCACTGACATGACAAATACCTTTTCAGCTTTGCTTTTTAGATATTTCAGACATCTGTGCATTTTGTGGGGTATCAGTCTCTACTGTCCTGGTTAAATGGATACATCTAAATTCTTTTCTCATCCTGTTGTTAGGTGGCAGTGGCAATCAGCTGAGATCTTTTGGCCCCGGGCAGCTGGACTTAACCAGTTCCTCCTCTTCTCTTGGAAGTGAGAACAGTAACAAGAATAACAATGCACCACGGACCTATGGGATAGGTGGGGTTAACAGAACCAAAACTGGGGTGGGAAAGAGAGGAATTTTCTCATTATTAGTTAAGGAAAATGGGAGAATTCCTCTAAATGTCAAGTGCTCCATCTGAGTGATGATTTTTTCTCAAGATGTTTGTGTTTTTTGTTTTTTGTTTTTTGTGGTTTTTTTTGAGCAGACTGTTCAGCAAAGGCTTTAAATCTTGTCTGTCAGAACTTCCAGTGTGGTTTATAAAAAGACTTCTTATAGATGAATACACTAAACCTTATCAAGACCTGTGCAACCTTTAAAAAATAAATCAGGAATTAACAAGCTACTGAAAGGATGGGGAAGTACTATTTAGAGAGTACATTAGCAGGATTTAGGTGTTCTAGATTTAATTTTTTCATTAGGTACGTGGCACTGAAAAATTTGCATTGCATCCATATAATATAAAACCAGTATTTTAAGGTAACATGAGATCTATAGTAATGTTTAAAAAAATGAGTTCTGAGAAAGAAGATTTGAATTTTTTTTTCATTAAAAATATCAACACAAGTGTCTCTTCCTTTGTGACTTTCAAAATTATTTTTAGCAACAAAGGAGAGTTTTCCTTCAGGTGAAAAAATGTCCTTCGGGACATCTGTTTAGACATTGTGATGGTCTAGGGAGAAAAATGGAGATTTTGCACATTACATCCTTCAGAACAACTGGCTTTTATGTGATTCATCCAACATATTATTAATATTGAAAAACCAAAGAGGTCTTCTTCAGGTATTATTCTCATATGTCGCCTTTTAAAATTCTAAGATAGATACTTCCAGTTGAATTACTCTATACCATAAAGTTCAAAAAATTTTAAACTTCATGGAAGGTTACTGACTTTGCAGTTTGAAAAAAAAAATACTTTTAAACTTGATCATAGTTCTTCAGTTTCTTTTATATAGACTAATAGTAGTGTAATTTATACTTAAAAGAGCTAAGAATAGTCGAGTAGTGCCCTGATTTCTGCAACATTTCCTGGCTCACATAACACAGTCTCTTTTTTTCCCTCCTTAATCTTTCATTAAGCATGTTAAATTTCATCTGAGTAAAAGTTTACCTTATCTCGGTCACCTGGTCTCCACAAGTAAAGTGGTCCCCCCCCCCCCCACTTCAGTGGTGCTATCTTTGATCCACATTTTGGTTTTGCTTCTGTTTGGTAGACTTCAGGTTTTTGTTGTACAGTGTCTAATGAATATGGTTGGTTTCCCACGCAGGCTACACCTTGGCTCCCAGTGGTACCGTGGATAATTTCTCAGATTCTGGTCACAGTGAAATTTCTTCCCGATCCAGCATCATCAGCAACTCTTCCTTTGACTCAGTGCCGGCCTCGCTGCACGATGACAGGCGCCAGAGGCATTCTGTCAGCATCGTGGAAGCAAACCTCGGCGTGGGAAGGATGGAAAGGCGAACTATGATCGAACCAGACCAGTACAGCTTAGGGTAGGCAGCTTTTCTTCCGTGTTTGGTTACATTCCTTCTCCCATCCTTTACAAATGAGTCCTTTACTCCTGATGTATATTTCTACTATTTTACATAATGCCTAAGAAATGCTCTCCCATCCCAGTTCTAATTTTCAGAATTTCTAGATTACTAAATGTCATGCTATTTTTCTGGTACACACTGCTTTTCAAGTTAGGTTTATTCTTCACTGGAAGACTGTTATTCTTGGAGCGCCTGGGTGGCTCAGTCGTTGGGCATCTGCCTTCGGCTCAGGTCATGATCTCAGGGTCCTGGGATCGAGCCCCGCGTCGGGCTCCCTGCTCAGCGGGAGGCCTGCTTCTCCCTCTCCCACTCCCCCTGCTTGTGTTCCCTCTCACTGTGTCTCTCTCTGTCAAATGAATAAATAAAATCTTAAAAAAAAAAAAGGGAAGACCGTTATTCTGTGCTAAAGGCAGAGAGGGTGGCTTTAGGACGTATCCCCCAGATTCTTTGTAGAAGCTGCCTTCATTGAAATCAGATTATGTTGAGCCATCCTTTAACCTCATAAGGAAAGTGTGCCTTTATTATAAACAGGTAGTTGTTCTTTTCCTCCTGGATTTATTTTTTGGAAATGACAAGGTGAGCAAACTGGACGTAGCAGAACCAGCTATGAAAATACTGTTCAGTGGGGCTTTCATCCTCTTCCTGGGATGAAAAAAGCCACAAAGCCACCTTTCCCCAGGGGGAGGGGGAGGGGAAGAAAAGGTATTTAGGTTTTATATCCTAGGTTTCTTAGGTAACAATCTTGCACTTTTTCTTCCTTTTCATTTCTTTCGACTGCTTAGGTCCTATGCACCAATGTCCGAGAGCCGAGGCTTATATGCTACAGCTACAGTAATTTCTTCTCCAAGCACAGAGGAACTTTCCCAAGACCAAGGGGACCGGGCTTCACTCGATGCTGCTGACAGCGGCCGTGGGAGCTGGACGTCGTGCTCCAGTGGCTCCCATGATAACATACAGACCATCCAGCACCAGAGAAGCTGGGAGACACTTCCATTCGGGCACACTCACTTTGATTATTCAGGGGATCCTGCAGGTTTATGGGCCTCCAGCAGCCATATGGACCAAATTATGTTTTCCGATCATAGCACAAAGTATAACCGGCAAAATCAAAGTAGAGAAAGTCTTGAACAAGCCCAATCCCGGGCAAGCTGGGCATCGTCCACAGGATACTGGGGAGAAGACTCAGAAGGTGACACAGGCACAATCAAGCGGAGGGGTGGGAAAGATGTTTCCATTGAGGCTGAAAGCAACAGCATGACCTCTGTGACCACAGAAGAAACCAAACCTGTTCCCATGCCGGCCCACATAGCTGTGACATCGAGTACCGCAAAGGGACTCATTGGTAAGCAGATTAGAGAGCTTTGTCGCATCTAACCTGTTTCCAAAGTAAAATCATGTGTTCATGGTTCTTTTCCTCGTTTTGTCCCACCCATTGGTGTATAGGGCTTCCAAATTAGCGGTGTGTTCAGGATTTTGAAATGAAGAGTAGTTAAGAGCTCAGGTTCCGTGGTCAGGTACATACAGATAGATTCCAACATTCTAAACATTCAGTGAATTCTGGCAGTCAAGATCAGCAGATTATCATTATGGATGTTTTCTTGCCCATTAAGCTAAAATTATGAGGAAGGCTGCCCATTCTTTCTAAGGGAAGAATTTTCTTTAATTGAAACTATTTTAAATGTTCTATTATTCTGTTTTGTTTTAAATGTTCTATTATTCTGTTTTGTTCCCTTGAAGTGTATTTAGAACTTTGCACTTTGCATGTATAAATCTACCACTGACTTTGGTTATGCAGACAAATTGGGCGCTAACCAAATCCTCTCTGCACCTTGTAGAACAAGGGAGAGAGTACAGAGGTCTAGGGATCTGGCAGATTGGGGTTTGAATTGCCTGTTGTCCACTTCACTAGCTTTGCGACATTGGGCAAGGTACCAAACTTGGCCTATTTATTCCTATGTAAAATGAGCTGAATAATTTCTACTAATACAGTTGAGGTGGGGATTAAGGGAAATCTAGGGCGAGCACTTGGAACAGTGCCTGGCTAGGAATTCGTACGTACCTGAAACACGCTGTTCCTTTGCCGCAGCGCTTGCTGTTGTGAAGTCTTCCGTGCTCCCCCAGTCCTATCAGCTTGTAGTTTCTGGGGCATATTCAACATCTATGTAATCGAAGCGCAGGACTACGTTACAGGATACGGAGCGAGAAACCCTAGAGTATCATCATTACAGACATCACTTTTTTTTTTTTTTTTAATTTTATTTCTTTATTTGACAGAGAGAGACACAGTGAGAGAGGGAACACAAGCAAGGGGGAGTGGGAGAGGGAGAAGAGGGCTTCCCGCTGAGCAGGGAGCCCGATGCGGGGCTCGATCCCAGGACCCTGGGATTCTGACCTAAGCTGAAGGCAGACGCTTAACCGACTGAGCCACCCAGGCGCCACCAGACATCACTTTTATTAGTCAAGAAATTATAGTTATTTTGCCACATAAACAGTCATGGATAGATAACAGTTAATACCTCTTCTTGGGTTGTGATTTTTCAAGCATTTTTTTTTTTTTAAACAAACTAATACTCAGAATTGTTACTGCAAAGAAAAGAATGATGTTCATTCCTAAAAATTGAGTCTGTGAGGTTCAAGAAAATAAAACTTTAGTTTTACTTGCCTTTACAGAGCTCATGTTCTAGGTCATGAACATTAATAAAAGGATTTTAAGAGAAATAACCATATAGTTTAGGGTTTTTAAATTTGCATCTTTTTGGGTACTACTTTTCCAGATTTAATTCTCTATTTTCCAAAGTGAGGTCCAAGACCTGAAAGTAGCCTAAGGTTGATTTGTCTGCCTGACAAGAGTAAAGCTGGGTAAGTGCCTGGCAAAGATGGACTAGCCTGCCTTGACCTTGGGGCCGGGACAGAAGGAAAGAAACGTTCACCAGGCACTACTAACATGTTCCACGCATACTACTGGGTACCTTTTCTGTTTTCTCTTTGCTTAATCTTTGCAGTAAACCCAAGGGTCCTTATGACTCTTTTATAGTTAAGTACGAGGTTTGAAGGAGTCTGTTTAAAGATAACAGATTGCTTAGTTGCTTCTCTCGCCAATTATTTCACCCCGGAGAGATAAGCATTATGGTTATTTGGTCCAGTTACCACCCATTCCCTCGCCTACCATATATCCCCCACGGCTATCTCATACCACACACAATCACACCTGCGGTTACACTGCGTCTGCTGTCTCAGTAATTACTTGTATAATTTACCATGAACATTTGGGGGCACGAAACGTTCTTCCACAAAATGTTTCACGGCCGGTACCCTGTCTTTACTACAGCGCGGAAGGAGGGCAGGTATCGAGAGCCGCCACCCACCCCTCCCGGCTACATTGGAATCCCCATCACTGACTTTCCAGAAGGGCATTCCCACCCAGCCCGGAAACCTCCAGACTACAACGTGGCACTTCAGAGATCTCGGATGGTCGCCCGACCCACGGACACGGCTGGGCCTTCGCCGGTACAGCAGGCGCACGGGCATCCAGCCGGCGGCAGGCCCGTGAGCAAACCGCAGTGGCATAAGCCCAACGAGTGCGACCCGCGCCTCGCCCCGTATCAGTCTCCAGGCTTTTCCACCGAGGAGGACGGTACATACGCATTCTTAGAACCCTAACGTTAGCGGTGGTCACTTACGCCGCCTACTGTAAGCTTTCCAGGGCATTGGTTTTCTTAATACACAAAGAACAGTTTATATTCAGAGGTCCAGATTTAGGGTTAAAGCTGTCGAATGTGTGAGGTTTTCTCATTTGTTTCTAATGGCTTAAGAAATACCAAAGTTTGCAGAGGGCAGCACTTGTCATGAAGTGTGTACACGACTAGATTTCTTTACTAATTGTCAACGTTTTCTGTGGAAAGGTTGCATTTGGGCTTTTAATGAGTTCAGATGGAAGTCTGATAAAGAAATAGACTTCTCTATAACTCTTTTGCCTTCTTTCTATAAATCTACCTGTCCATGCTGGAATGCGGATGACAGAGATCATCCCCTCCCCTTATTTTTTCAAGTTTAACTTGTCTTATTATGTAAATAATCATTCTGGAAAAAAGCAAAAGACAAAAAAGGAAAATTCTAATCCTGCCGCTTGCAGCTGACCATTAGTTACATTTTATTATATATCCTTCTAGACTTTATGTGTGAGTATATATTATTTTAAAGTCACGTGCTGCTATGATTTATAATTTTCAATAAATTAATTTTTCAATAATGTTTCTATTTTATATTGTGTATATATATTTAAAGATATGAATCCTATGTATTTTGTAAAAACTCTATTATTAATCATTACTTAGGTGAGTTATACTAAAGAAACAGCTATGGTATTTTTATTTAACCCATCAGCAAATGTGTTCTCTCTAGCCCAAGAAGCGACTCGCTTGCTCACTGATGTTTCTCCTTTCTCTCTTTCCTGGTTATGTTTGCAGAAGATGAACAAGTATCTGCTGTTTGAGGCACAGGCTTTTTCTGGATCCAGAGTCAGCCACCTTTAAAAGGAGAGCACAAGAAGACGTCCCTAGCAGCGGAGCCTTGGAACTCACATTCTGAGGCCGGTGGACCAGTTTGCCTCCTTCCCTGCCTTAAAAGCAGCATGGGGCTTCTTCTCCCCTTCTTCCTTTCCCCTTTGCATGTGAAATACTGTGAAGAAATTGCCCTGGCACTTTCCAGACTTTGTTGCTTGAAATGCACAGTGCAGCAATCTTCGAGTTCCCACTGTTGCTGCCTGCCACATCACACAGTATCATTCCCAATTCCAAGATCATCACAACAAGATGATTCACTCTGGCTGCACTTCTCGATGCCTGGAAGGATTTTTTTAAATCTTCCTTTTAGATTTCAATCCAGTCCTAGCACTTGGTCTCATTGGGATAATGAGAAAAGCTAGCCATTGAACTACGTGGGGCCTTTAACCCATCAAGGAAGACAAAGAAAAACAATGAAATCCTTCGAGTACAGTGCTTTGTCCACTTGTTTACAATGTCTTTTTTTTTTTTTTTTTTTTAAGAAATGAATTGAAAGATTGTGCTCAGAGAGTAAATGTTATATCCATTTAATGATTACAGTATTATTTTGAACCTTTAAGTCGGGTTGCCAGCCTGGGTTTCTGAAAAACCAAATATGCCGGACAGGGTGTGGTCACAGCGAGGAGAGGGAAGACCTGGCTTGCGACCCTGTCTTCCTGGGTCCATCTGGCCTCACCCGTGAAGTGCCCTATCCTGGAAGTAGAAGAGGTTAGCCAATTACGTAGATACCAAGACGCCTCATCCACTCCTTCCCCAGTGGGTGGGGTTCTTCTGTAAAACTGTTTGCACATGGCCAGGGGAGGGAGATGGGACTCTTGTGTCCTGTGTCTGAGCCTTATGGAGTGCAGGGCGGTGTCATTGGAGGGCGGGTCCTGCTCCCTTGAGATGGATGGCAAACCCCACTTTTTTTTAAGTTATGTTTCTTTGATTTTTGTTAAATTAGTTTTAGGGATTTTGTTGTTGGTGGTCGTTTTTAAAGAGAAACGTTCATAACTGGATAGCCCTGCAGTGAAAGCAGCTGGGGTATTGGAGCGAAAGCCCGCTGTTAGTACTGCTCGGTCAAGACAGCCTCCCTTTGTTGAACTGGCATGAGGGAAGAAGCAAGCCTTTAACGTGATAAAAGAACAAAAGATCGAAAGCCCGTTGAGATACGCCAGCCTTTGCAAGGTGGGTTAGTCACCCAAGACTAACCAGTAAGTGGCTTTATGGACACTGCAGATAGAGAAGGCCTCCGTGTAGCAACCACCTGCTCACAGCTGCTATGAACCCGATAATGACCGAAATGACCCCTCCACTCTATTTTTGTGTTGTTTTTGCACAGACTCCGGAAAAGTGAAGGCTGCCAATCCGAGTAGTACTCAAATGTGAGGAACTGCTGGTCTTGGATTTTTTTTCCATTAAATTCAGCTGATCATATTGATCAGTAGATAAACGTAAATAGCTTCAAATTTTAAAAGTCAAATTGCAGTGTTTTTTCACTGTATCAAACGATGTCCGTGCTTTATTTAATAAATCTCTTCTGTATCATGGCATTTGTCTACTTGCTTATATATTACATTGTCAATTATGCATTTGTAATTTTACATGTAATATGCATTATTTGCCAGTTTTCTTATATAGGCTATGGACCTCATGTGCAGATAGAAAGACAGAAATCTAGCTCTACCACAAGTTGCACAAATGTTATCTAAGCATTAAGTAATTGTAGAACATAGGACTGCTAATCTCAGTTCGCTCTGTGATGTCACGTGCAGAATGTACAATTAACTGGTGATTTCCTCATACTTTTGATACTACTTGTACCTGTATGTCTTTTAGAAAGACATTGGTGGAGTCTGTATCCCTTTTGTATTTTTAATACAATAATTGTACATATTGGTTATATTTTTGTTGAAGATGGTAGAAATGTACTATGTTTATGCTTCTACATCCAGTTTGTACAAGCTGGAAAATAAATAAATATAACGTAAAGCCTTTTGTCTATATCCTTAATGAATCGTGCATGCTTTTTATTATTGAAGTGTAATAAGGCTCTTGGGTCTCACTGCAGGAGCAAGTCCTCAGGAGGCCAAGGAGATTTATAATCTATTTAGCGTAAAAACTGACCAATGGCCTGTTCTTTTAGGTAGCTCTCTGTTGATTCAGAGAAATTAACGTCACAAACCCAACCATGTTCAGAATTCAGTGTTTCTTGAGATTCAGTGAAAAATAGTGACGATGATCACTACATAGTTACAGAGCATTTGTCTCTTCTCAACCCTTTTCCAATAAAAATCTCTGTGGGACATAATGTTGTAATTCCCAGTATACATCCTGAGAAACAGGACCTCGGAGAACTTAAACTGTCCTTCAAGATCATGACCACTAGGTTAAAGGTACAATTTAGCTAACGATTTCAGACTTCTCATGAGTACATAAAAATGGTTGTGTCTAAGAGTTCTATTGTTGGGTAAGTTGAATCATGTTCCAGCCTATCAGAAGGGCATTATACTTAAAAAGGTAAGAATCAGGTAAGCGGCAGCAAGCTATTAAGCACACTTTGAAACCAAGGACTCGTCTCTTACCCGGCAGCATGCATAAATACAAGCAGTACCCACCGCTCACCGGGAAGCGCCAGAGGCTGGAGCGGAAGCATCCAGGAGCACGTGGGCGAGATGTGAGAAAGTCCAAAAAGGAGTCAGGAGCTTAGTGCCGACACTAACGTGGCCACTGGCCAAACCTAAAAATCTTCCTGAGGCATCTGTGCTAGCTGTCTTGGTGAGTAAATTTTGAAACTCTGTCCATGAAAACAAGTGGAGAATTAAAACCAATAGCTTCAACCATAGCGCCTACAAAATGAAGGGACGGTGTGTACGTGTATTATGTGTATGTGTCCGCCTCCATCTTTTCCCCATGAAACCCATTACTCAGGAACACTCTTACCAAAACAAAAACCTATGCTTTATTTAATGCAATGCTCTATTTAAATTTGCCATTCAAAAAGCTTAATTTTCTCAAATGTGGTTCAAAAAAAATCTGATATTAATAAGCTCTTCCTAACTTTTTTGTATTCTGCTAAAAGCATAGGAAAATGACAAATCAGCCACGGTGCCCATCATTAACACTTGGATGTCTTAGGTTACCTTCAAGTAGCCAAAGACCTGTTTCTGCCTCAGGGCTTCAAGAAGTAGGTGTTCATCAGATATAATCGATAGTAGTGAGTTTAATCTATGTCATGTTAATAACAGAACTTGGCCAAGTTTTAGGAATGTCGTAGAAAGTACTTTGTTGGCAAACATCTGATGCTCTAGTCCCTAATCAGAGATGCCGCACAGCCCCGGGTCTGTTTCCACACATCCCAGTTAAAGCCCTCCAAAGATTCTCCAGAGCTTAAATCCATTTTCATCTGTCGGGGAAGTGTAGAGTTTATGCTCACTTATGCTTTAATATATTTTATCTCCAGGTCACTGATAATATCTCCCCCAATGTTCCTGAATGATGCAAGGTTCTGAGCATGCATTTAGCAACGACACCTGTTAGGTCAGGGTCCTGATGTATTAATGCATTACTGCACTTCTGTTTTTGTCAAAGCAAAATAGGAAGCCGAGTCCTTGATTCCATGATATAATTCTCTTAAAAATAGCTTACTCAGGGTGCCTGGGTGGCTCAGTCGTTAAGCGTCTGACTTCAGCTCAGGTCATGATCCCAGGGTCCTGATATGGAGCCCTGCATCAGGCTCCCCTCTAGGCGGAAAGCCTGCTTCTCCCTCTCCCACTCCCCCTGCTTGTGTTCCCTCTTTCGCTGTGGCTCTCTCTGTCAAATAAATAAGTGAAATCTTAAAATAAAAATAAAAATAGCTTACTCAAAGGAAAAGTGAAGCAACTGAAGGTGAAGTTGTTGATGGAGAGGGAAATGATTTTATGAATATTCACTAATGTCAAGAATGTTGAAAAGGGCAATAATGTGATGGAAATGAGTAGGACAGACTGCAGCCAAGCTGACAGGACTTTGAAAAAAGATTTTAAAGTGAATGAGAACTTACCCCACTGAAAGTGAGACAGAAACACTGACTGGAGGGGTGCCTGGGTGGCTCAGTCATTAAGCATTTGCCTTCGGCTCAGGTCATGATCCCGGGGTCCTGGGATTGAGCCCTGCATCGGGCTCCCTGCTCGGCGGGGAGTCTGCTTCTCCTTCTCCCACTCCCCTGCTTGTGTTCCCTCTCTCGCTGTGTCTCTCTCTGTTAAATAAATAAATAAATAAATAAAAATCTTTAAAAAAGAAGAAAGAAACACTGACTGGAACTGAAGAATAATTTGCGAATTGTACTTTTTTGACATTCGCATTTCTTTGCAAGCACAATAAAATTCCTGTCTATGTTTGAAATTATACTTATTGCCCAGTTAGTTTTTACAATGCCATGGCTATATAACAGGCAAATTTTTAGAGGTGATCAAAACATTGCACGCAAGTTTAAAGGAATCTTAGGCTTTATTTCATGGGCAATCAATAAGATAACAATTTTCATAACAGGTTATGGGAAAAATTGGGCATCGAATATAATAGCAAAGCAAATTCAGAGTCAAATGACTAATTTTATAGAGAAGGGAAAATAATGAAGTAAATTCAGTCCAGGGTATTCAACACCTCAAAAATAAAAGCTAGTTGGGGCATGTGGGTGGCTCAGTCTTTAAGAGTCTGCCTTCGGCTCAAGTCATGATCCCGGGTTCCTGGGATCGAGCCCCGCATCGGGCTCCCTGCTCGGCGGGAAGCCTGCTTCTCCCTCTCCCACTCCCCCTGCTTGTGTCCCCTCTCTCGCTGTGTCTCTCTCTGTGTCAAATAAATAAATAAAACCTTAAAAAATAAATAAATAAATAAAAGCTAGTTATATTCTGTAAATAGTTTCATAAAGTTTAAGGAACTTTATTAATAATATTAACTATGTGACCTAACACTGAGTAGTTGCCACGCAGTATGGTCTTATGGGAACCAATGAATTAATAGTACATTAGAATATTTGAGGTTTTCCTTAATTTATATAGATTTATAAATTTTTTTTAAGATTTTATTTATTTATTTGACAGAGAGACACAGCGAGAGGGAACACAAGCAGGGGGAGTGGGAGAGGGAGAAGCAGGCTTCCCGCGGAGCAGGGAGCCTGAAGCAGGGCTTGATCCCAGGACCCTGGGATCATGACCTGAGCCAAAGGCAGATGCTTAACCAACTGAACCACCCAGGCGCCCCTAGATTTATAATGTTTATAAAACAGTTTTTTCAACTCAGACTATAAAATTGATATAGGATCAAGTCAGTGTCACGTGTAGCATTAAGATGAAAATATGTGCAACGCTTCCAGATGTAGTTAAATGAGCTGATTTCATTCATCTTGTGTACTTACTATGATCGACACACTTTTTAGATGCTGGATATTTATAGATTTTACTAAAATGAACTGAGGTGCTTTTTAATTACAGTGTTTTTGCAAGGTGTCTCCCATTTCTCAGGCCTTAGAGGGGAAAACTGAGTGATCCTAAGATAATAAGTGAATATCTTATCAAGTAGTCTTGATCATAGCTGGATCAAAGGAGATACCTGGCCCAAGAGTTACCCATGTAGACTTGCCAGCAATGTTTTAAGAGGGCCATGGCATAAGCACTGTGACCAGTAAGGAAAGCAACAACCAACTTGAACTCATCACATTCTCTTTGGGGTATTTCTGGGTGAAAGCAAAAAAGAGCAAAAGCTGTATTCAAATCCGTATGCAGAAGCCACGAGACAAGAGAAGTGATGAGCATGCAGAAATCATGAATAAGAAGGAGTCTCTGAAGTCAAGAAAGAGATTAATCAAAGACAGGAGTGGGGGGAAAAGCTTAGCACAACAGATGCCTGTTTCCTAGGAAGCAACCAAAAGATATATCTTCAATGTACCTGAATAGATTTCCAGTCTCAGAACAACTAACTCCCTTGCGGCTTAGCTCTGTGAATTGTTCTTATTCTTCCTGAAACCAGGATGAAAAGCCATTCCTGTTGTTTGTGTTTCTTCTTCTGATAACCGTTCTTCTCAGCACCTAGAACAGTGCCTGGGATATTGTAAAGGCTTTTACTAAATGAATATCTTACCAAGCACCCTAAAGGGCCCAAATTACACTGGTAGATTGGATAATCAAAATCAGCCAACATGCATTTATGAGGGGAATCTACAACTGTGCCCAGTACTGGTAAATACTCAGTGGTAAAATAAATGAGTTCATAAAAAAATTATTTTTTCTTTATTGAGGTATAATTCACAAATAAATGACTCAACAAGACTAGCAAGGATTGAAGATTAACCAGAAGGAACAAAGAATAGAATACTGTTTAAGAGTTAAATTTTGTGTGGCCAGAGTTCAGACAGGTGAAAGATCCATAAAGACTGAAGTATCCATAAAAAGGAGTCTTCAGTTCTCCCTTCATGTATTAGGAAGATGTGATGAACAAAGGCAGTGCCCATGGGACACTGGGGAGACACGCTTAATTAGATGGGACATCAGGATTAGGAGAAAGTAGTGGAATAATTAGGGGAATGTGAGATTACATGAAACCAAAATTTTTTACAGAGATTGTATTTATAAGTTAGGGGACATTTTGCAAAGCATGTTTGATTCATTCTTTTATATCACTGCCTTGGTTTCAAATCTTTGAGGGCAGGCCCCTACACCTAACCAAACTATTTCTAGCACTATGTACCCTATAGTTACGCTTAAATGATAGAATTTGTGTGATCTTGGGTCAGCTGGTTAGTCTTTTTTATAGCACTTCAAAAGACCAAAAGTATAGAAGAAACAAAATAGCCATGCAGAATGTGAATAAATAGAATGAAGAGAGCCAAACAGAGAATTTGAGTGGGTAAGAGGTTAGGCCACAGCCCCACAAAATTATAATTATTGATTCACATGAAAAGCTAAGCCCAGAGAAGGACGTTTACAATATGGAATTTCAGAGACTCACCTTAAAAA